GCCGCCGCTGCCGCCGCCGCCGCAGCGCTGCCGCCGCCCCCGGTGACCCGCGGGTGATGTAGGGACAGGAAAGGGGACACGGGCCAGTAGAGGGAGCCGGCGCGCTCCATGAAGGTGAGGCCTGAGGCGGTGAGGCGAGCCCCCCGCTTAAAGGCCAGCTTGGCCCGGGATGTGGTGGAGCGGCGGCGCAGCTTCCCGGTGGTTCCGCCGATGAAGACGTCGTCGCTGCTGGGGTCCAGCATCCAGTAGTTGCCCTTTCCCGGGTCGTCGTAGTGTCGCGGGACTTTGACGAAGCACTTGTTGAGGCTGAGGTTGTGTCGGATGGAGTTCTGCCAACCCTGCTTGTTCTCGCGGTAGTAAGGGAAGTTCTTCATGATGAACTCGTAGATGCCGTTCAGCGTCAGCCGCTTCTCCGGACTCTGCCGGATCGCCATCATGATCAGCGCGTTGTAGCTGAACGGGGGCTTCTCGTACTTTCCGCTGCTCTTCTTCTCTGCTGCCTCCTTCCCTGTAGAATCCCCCGACTCCTTTTCCTTCTCCTTTTCGTCTTCCTGCGGCTCCTGCTGCTGCTCCTGTTTCTCCTTCTTTTTCTCCTCCTGCACGGCCGCCGGAGCTTCGCTCTTTTTTGCCTCCGCCGGTGAGTCCTGTGGCGGAGCCTTGCGCTCGGCCTCGTCCTGTCTCTGCAGGTTCTGGCTCTGGTTCTGCTGCTGCAGACTCTGGCTCTGCTGCTGCTGCAGACTGTGGTGGTGCTGCAGGTGGTGCTGGTTCTGGTGGTGGTTCAGGCTAAGGCTCTGGCCGTGGCCGTGGCCGTGGAGGTGGCTGTGGTGGTGGTTCTGGTGGTGATGGTGGTGGTTCTGGTTGTTGTTGTTGTTGTCGCTCTGCACTGCCTCCGGCACCAAACTGTTGATGCTGAAAGAGGATTTCGGAATCATTTTGGTCTCTCTGCGATCTCCCATGTCCAACATCACCGGCAAAAGTGCAGCTGAGGCGGCGGTGGGGCAGTGGACGGACCGGAACACAGCTGGGTCTCCGCTCCTCCGTCAGTCCTGGACCAAGCGGCAGCAGGACGGGAAAAGAAGGAAGAGGAGGAAGGATGGAAGGAAGGAGAGGAGAAGAGAAGAAGAGAAGAGGGGGACGGAGAGGAGAAGAGGAGAGGAGAGGAGAGGAGAAGAGTGTGTAGCCCCAACAAAACTATTTCATGTTGGGTTTAGGGGGAAGAGAAAGAAGGCAACACACGCACACGCGTGTACACACACACACATACCCCCACTCACACACGCATTTACTAACATCCACACAGACACACACACACAGAGAGACACACACACATCGATAGGAGACAGATAGCTGCAATTAATTAAGAAGCCGCTGCTGAAAGAAAAGAAAAGAGACGAACAAACATTGGTCAGAAGAGTTTGAGTCCGGAACCAATCAGAGGAAAGGAGGTTATAGCCAATCAGGAGGCAGAAGACTCGGAGGCACACGCACGGAAACACACGCTGTAAAAAGTGCCGTAGGACTCCGTACTTCTTTTTTTGTTTCTATTCTTTATTTTAAATCTAAAATTATGATTTTCTTTGAACTTTTCTTGGTTTTAAACGACATCTGAAAACACAAATACTATTAAAAAACATCTGTGCGTTTTTAATTGTCGAGTTGGTTTCGTTTTTAGACCATATTATAGGATTTAGGTTAACAATTAAAATGTAGTCATTTGTTTTAATAGTTATTATTTTATCCTATATTTTTAAATTCTATTGTTTTATATATTCTATATTTTATCGTTCATTTTGTTTAACGTCATTTCTGCCTGTTCTGTTCAGTAGGTTCGTAGTGTTTACTGCACTTGTTGTTCTGTGCAAAAGAAAAAAATATAAATTATTATTTTGATGAATTAAATTTTTATGGTAATAATTATAATTTAGATCAGTTAAATCTCCCTTTCGTTTATTCCTCCTTATTTCTTAATTTTTAATTTATTGTTGACAGACCTAATAAATAATTAAATACAACCCGCGAGTCTACAATAATTTTTTGCAGCGTACACGTACACACACACACACACACACACACACACTCCTCTGTTTACACACGGCCACAGGAAGAAATAAACACAGAGTAGTTTCCGGAGGCGCGGGCGGAGAATTAAAGGCACATCTCACACATGTGATGGAAATAAAAAACAGTTCATATCGTCCACTGTAAAAATGCATGTATATTTTATAGGCAGTTTTAGTAATAACATGAGTTACCGATGGTTTCATGACGTGGTTCTGACGGAGGTTCCACGCGTTAAAGCTGAAATATTCTATTTCTTTTAAAAAGAAATTATTATTCACGTCTTAGTTTTCCCGTTGAAATTGTATCAATTATATTTCACAGCTAATTAATCCCTTTAAGAAATATCGAGCACTTTTGTTTTATTTAAATGACCAATTTAGAACAATAGTGGATATTTGAGTTTGTGATTTTTTTTTCTTTATTGAATGAAAACATGAAAAAGGTATTATTTTATTTCAACTATTTACGTCGTGTAACTGTGTCTGTTGATAATGATGACGAAAATCAATCGCTGCTTCGTTGAGCCAACGCTGGGTCAAAGGTTCAACCCGTATCGCGTTGCTCTCTCAAGGTTTTTCATTGCTGTAGTGACAGCGACACCTTGGGGGTGCAGAGAGGAACTACACACACTAACAGTAGAGAACAAAGTAAAAATATATGTAAATGTATGTATACACACACACACATATATACATACACATATATAACATTTTTCATGTATGTAAGGGACTGACTTAGACGTGGTGATGTTTTAATTATAATAGAAATAACATGTATTTTCAGAAATGAAAATTAAAGATCAGCTACAATTTCACAATCATTGCTATTTATCATCAATTTATTAAACAAAATGAGCAACTAAGTGGTGTTCAAAGTGCGGCCCCACCCTCTTCTGTCCTCCCTCTGGAAAAGGGGTCAACGGCAATAGTTTGTTTTATTTCTGTTCTTTTTTTACCTAATATTTGACTTATTTATGAAAACTATGAAATCATGAATAACATGAATGAATAATTCGCTTATTATTAAAAAACAGTTTAAAAATCAGTACTAATCATTCTGCAGTGATGTCATTGTTTTTGTCACGTCATTAGTCAGACTCATTATGTCACAGAATACTGATGACATCATAGGAGACAAAGGTAACTAATGACGACACAGGACAATGATAATGTCCCAGGTGACCGACAATGACACTGATAAACATGATGGTGATTATAACCACGTCACAAGTGCCAAGTGACGGAGCTTCATTTTTTGCTGAAGAACTTCCTGAATCCCCGGACCTTCTTGGCCTTGTCCTGGTTCCCATTGTCCTCTGCCTCCTCAAAGGTCAGAGGGGGCGCTGCCTGGTTGTCTGGAGAGACTAGAGAAGAATCCAGAGTTCCTCTCTGAAAACCTGTAGTAACAGGAATATTTAGAGGAAATGCAATCTTTTTAAATGTTTCAAATTCAGAGGAGGACGTGGTCAGACCTATGGCTCCGCCCTCTCCACCCTCAGGATAGCGGTGTCTGTTGTAGTAGGTGTGTGGTGGTTTGGGTGGACGCTGACCCTCTGAGGACAACTGTCTCTCCAGACTCTGAGTTCGACTGTACGTATAAGTGGGCGGGGCCACGTCTTCCGCAGCTTCTGTCAGTTTCTCCAGACTCAAGTTAACAGACGACGCCCTCCTGATGGAGAACAGGAATAATGTAAAGATAAAAGGTCGACATCGAGGTGAAGCTGTTCATACGTGCTATTAGAATTCTTTTTGGTGAACCTCTCAGGTTAGATGATCTTCTGGTATAAACCCATTTTCTACGGGGATTAGGTCGTAGCTCTGTGTAGACCAGGTCATAACATTCACTCAAGTCTTTTGGAGACTAAAGTAATTGTTCTTAGGTAACCTTTGGGAAGTGGAAGAACATTCTTCTTAGTTCCATCAACCCAACATAAATTTCACAAGGTCTGGAGGGAACCATCTTCATGGCATTCTTTTGCTACTGTTCAAGTGTTTTTTTTTCCTTTCCATCTCCATAAATCAGAGTTCTTGTTCAATCTCCTTTGGCTGAAATGATCTTCTTCCAGGTTTGTTCTCAGCAGACTTGAACCTGGTCTTGGAGTTGTTTCATCAGCAGAAGCCGGACTATTAGTTCTTGGTCAGAGCCTTAAGGTCCAAACCTTTGGCTGAATCTAGTCTTTGTTCAAACCTCCAGTTTTTAACCCTGTTCCAGAGACAGTTCTTTTAATCTGCTCTAAGTGCTTAAAAAATGAAAAAGGCAGAAAAATGGTGTGTATGTGTGTGTGTGGGGGAGGGGGGGTATCTATCATAACACTGTTCATGAATGTAGACAAGAAACGCTGTTTTGAAGTCTTCTCCCGCTGAGTCTGAACCTGTTGGTCAACACCAAGTTGCATCACCCCTGCTGCTGGAAGCTCATTCTGCACCAGTGTGTTATTGTCCTGCATGTGTGTGTCTGTAACATCTGCTGTTGTGGTCACGTTGCCTGTGTAATGACTGACAGCTGACAGAAGGTCCAGACCGTGTCCCACACTCTGCCGTTTCCATCTCCGCACACAGACGCTGAATGCAATTCAACTCGTCAGTGTTTCTCATTACAGGAAAAAATCCCTCCAGCTGACTTCCCATTTTCCCTTTCACCTTTCTGCCCACCACTGTTCCCACTGTTCACAGCGCGAAAGGACAGATGTGACAGTCGGAGTCAAATTACCTGTCGCTGTTTGACGGAAAACGCCATCAAACACCTCTGACGGACATGCCACCCATGTGACCTAGAAACTGATGGACTTCGTCACTTCACATCTTCACGAGGACTCATTTTTATCCAGGAGAGCTCCCTCCTCCACACCAAAGTCCACGGAGAAAATCACTGATTTAACATCGTGCCACTTGTCAATCCACTGTCGCCCCCATCAGTTATGTGTTAGTTTGCTCCTTTTTTGATTGAAATATTTGGTTTGGCTGTATTAAAGTGACACACACTGACCACACGAGGCAGCAGTAGACCAGCAGCTGCTGTGTGTCGTTGGGCAACTGATTCAACAAATTAAAAATAATGGGCAATGTCAAGGTTTATTTAAAAAAAGCTTTTTACTACCTTTATAACCTTTATACTATGTTTTACTGCAAAAAAGTAGTTCTTTTTCACAGTAACCTTTAACTGCCAGACCACCTTGTGATGTATGAGTGTATGTAAGTGTGTTTTCACCCTGAGTCTTCAGAGTCGCTGCTGCAAGCTTCAGGACGGTTCTGTAGCTTACTTAGCCACAGCTGCTGAAGTTCTCCACTGGGGGCAGCAAACATGAAATGACTGTCTTCCAGACTGCCACACACAAAAAGGTTGAGGGTGAAAAAATATTAAAAGTTCTTAATGTTACAAATATACTATGACGTGTGTGTGTGTGTGTGTGTGCATACTTGTAAACTTACATCACTTTGAACGTGTTCTCCTTTCTCCTGTAGAAGGGGTTGTCTTTACAAACTGCTCCAACAATGTTGATAGGAGGCCACCTAGTGGTGCCCTGTGGAAATTCAGAAAAGAAAAATTGTTTTAATGTGCCAGATTATTTACAGTAGTTTTTAATTAATGGGCTAACGTTAAAAATGTTTAATCAATAGCATCCCTTTTATCACCATTTCAGGCTGCAACAAGCTGAAAATCTATTTTAGATTAAACATTTTTGTCAAATGTATGCATATAAACCTACTTCTTAATAAATTCAATGTCATGCTGTGGAATTTATAGTTAAATAAAGGTGATTCAAAAAGGTTTTCATAATAACATGGTGTGTGAGATAAGAAAGACCTTTTTATATAAGAGCTTTATCTTATGGACAATGTGTCACCCTCTAAAGTGTGTGCTCCATCTGAGCATAAATCTAATTTATACTTGTTCTCTTTATCCCCCCTTTATTTAATTTGCTTGGTCTCCTTAAATGATTGTGTTTTACATAAGATCTAACCACAATTTAAATAAAAGGCAACAACTATCAAAGGAAGCAGGTAGTTTAAAAAAAATGAATAAGATTAACAAAAGAGGAAGTAAGGAGGAAAAGAAAGACAGAAGAAGGTAAAGGATGAGGTGAAGAAGAAGTCAGCAGTCGTACCTGTGCAGCAGCAGCTCTGTCTGTGTACAGACTCAGTGTCTCCTTCTCCAGGACAGCAAACACCTCCTCCCAGTTATCCAGAGCCTGAGGGAGCAGAAATCTATTTCTTTATTATGACTCAGCAAAAAAGACAGTCTGTGCTCCAGTATCTCACCTTGTTTCCTGGCGGTTTGACTTTGATCTGCAGCTCCCCCTGCATTCTGATCATCTGACCTGCAGGTACCTGATAACACAACCAAACCATCAAATAAATGTCACAGGCTTTAAAGGAGAAGTAAAGCCAGTGGAACAAAGAAGGGGTGAGGAGGGTTAGGGAATTAAGAATTTTTTACTAAATAATCAAATAGATAATGAGAATCTCACCTCGATTGTGGACGGTTCCTCTGGGACATCTTTTAACTTCCCCTGGAGGCCTGAAGAAGCCAAACGTAGCGTCCTAGTCAAAGGTTTTACGTCAGCAGTCATGGAGTCAGGGGATGTCAGATTTTCTTCAGCGGGAGGCTGAAGTTTGACTTTGGTCGTTTGAATGTGACTTAAGGTCTCTGAAGCGCTGGCTCACCAAAGGCACTGGAGGTTCAGGAGGACTTCCTGTTTGATTGCCAAGTGTAGGGGGCGGGGTTTTGGGAGTGACAGAGGATTCAACAGGTGATGGTGAGTCAGGTGGGGTTGTGCGCTTCTCTGATTGGTTTACTGGCTCTGATTGATGTCCAAACGTTCGCTCATAGGAGAGGGTTCTAGCATGGAGCAGGAGAGGGTTTGTAGCATGAGGAGGTTTGGACCTGGGAGGAAGGTCTAACTGGGAATGATCCTCTTTCTTTTGCAGATAGTCTTCTGTCACGTCATGGCGTATCCATGAATGAACTTCTGCCTTGGAGTCTTCATCAGGGTGATGGTCTTCTCCAGTAGCCAGTTTTTCCCTGAGGTGATGCCTTACCCAAGGACGCTGGTCTGCCTTGGACATGTCTTCACCAGATGAGCGGTCTTCCACAGGAGTAAGATCTTCTTTTATAGGAGTGCGTAGCCAGTCATGCCTCTGTCTTGAAGTGACGGCCTTCTTCATCACGATGTACCTCCTTAGAATTGTCCTTTAGATGAAAGGTTGTCAGTGAATGCTGGTCTTTGGTGGACTGAAGGTCGTGGAAGTCTACTCTAGATTGCTGGTCTTCCTTGTTATGCTGTTCTTTATGATGATGGTCATTCTCCATCGGCTGTTTTTTCTCAGAACGCCAGTCATTTTTGGGATAATGGTCTTTCAAGGAATACTGTTTTTCTTCAAAATGCCCTTTATATGAGGATGAAATGCTCGATGAGGAAGAAGATTCTGTGTCTGCACTAAATCCTGAGCGCCTGCTTCGTTGCTTCCAGGTCTCTGCAGTGGGACTTATTAAGGAAGGACTAGGAGGGGGACTTGGTTTCAATTCTTCCTGAAAGGCTTTTCTGTTGGTGCCTTGCATTGAAAAATCTGGTCCAGGACTTGAAGAGGGCCTTGATGAAAGGCTACCATAGCGACTGCTGTCCAGGTTTGCTTCCATTACAGTGGGTCTGATTCCTTTGCCACTGACTCTGCGGACAATGTCTCTGGCGTTGGAGGACATCAGCGATGTCTTTGGATCTGACGGTTTCCACTTCAAAGAAGAGACTCTGGCTGGAGGTCTGCGCTCCTCATCAATGTTGTCATGAAGACCAAGTCTCTTCTCCTTCTACGATAGAAAAAAATACCGTAGTGAAGTTCAAAGGCACAGACAGGGTTACCTTTGAATTTTTTTTCCAACAATTTGTGTACAAACCTGTGTCTTCTTTTTCTGAAGGGTGGCAAAACGTTCATTCTGTGCCTGAATCATAGCTTCCAAGTCCTCCTGTCGCTTGAGGAGCTCTTGAACGTCAGACACTGAATCCTGAAGGATACAAAAATAGAAAAACCCTCTTTAATTACAGTAAAGGTTAAGTTTTAAGTTAGCACAAACTTCTCTTTGATCGCCCCCTGCTGCTAGAACCAAGTCTACAATATCATTGGATTTTGTTGAATGCTTGGTCTTGTTGTTAGACAATGTTTTCTATTTTCCAATCCATTTCTCTTCCAATTCACATGGACTGAGAAGCTGTTGATCAAATATGTCCTCCATGATTAGGTTCAGATGGTTGTCTTTGTAACTTCAGTGTTTGAAATCATTCATTCAGTTCACCCAACTGACACAAAGTTAATGGGTGAAGTGGACCAGCAGCTGCAAGATAAGATCACTGATTTTCTTGATGTACTTTGGTGTGAGGAGTTAGTAGTTAACTTTTTTGTTTAATCCATTACCAACTAGATAAAGCTGGAAACTATTTTGAAATATTATCTATTAGTGTCACTGCTGGCAGCCATGACATACTGTGGGTTGGTTCTGGCTGCAAGGATGGACATAAAGTCAGTTTCTCACACAGCCACACTTGAATGGTTTAAATTACCCTTGAAAAAATAACCCAAGTATTCAAATGTAAAATCTAACTGCAGTTTCTATGTTCTTACACCGTAGTCCTGTGACGTCAGAGTGTTTTCATACGAGCTGAGCCAGCGTTCGGCCTGATCCAGCTCCTTCTGCAGAAGCCAGATCTCCAAGTCCTCTTCGTACCGTAGCCTGGTCTCTTCCCAGACCTCAACCACCTGTACCTCCAGCTCCTCCAGCTCATGTACTCGCTCCTCCACCTGTAGGAGGATGAATGTTACCTCAAGGCCAATCCTGGTTAACCTGGTTAACAAAACACCCTTCCTGTGTCTCTTTTACCTCCTGCGACATGAAGTCTCCGTCCTGGACCAGCCTCCAGCCTTCATCCTTGGTGCTCTGAGATTTGACAAGCTGTCGGTCAATCTGGATGCGGTACTCGTTGTGCTTCTTGAGGAGCTGCTCAGGGTCGACTCCCTCTACACTTTGTCCCTCCCCTCGCACCAGAGACAATGTCTCCTTCAGCCACGCCCTGACACACAAACACAAGGAATGACAAACAATTACCTGCTGCTGCATCAGTTCTAGAAGCTAACTGCTATTTTGTGTGTAGCAATGTTAGCATCATTTCAAAGTGGAAATCAGGTGATCTGGTGTCTACTTTACAACAGGAACACAGAACAAAGTTGATCTATTTCTGGTTTAATACCCTTAAGAAATATCCTAAAATATTTAGCTTAAAAGCAAAATATCTGACCCACACATGGGTCACAAAAAGCTGTGTGGTCCAAATTTAAGAAATACAATATAAAGACGGTTTACTGCTGACAGATGGTGGTTCTGAGAACATACATGAGTTCTGTCCACTGACAGAAGTATCTCTGGACTTGCTGGGCTTGACCTAGTCTGGCACGGCGCTGCAAGGCCTTGTCCTGGAGACGGGACCAACAGGAGTCCAGATCCTGGAGCCTCTGAGCCACAGAGCGTCCTGATCGAGACTGACGTCTGCTCAGAGATTCACCCACCTCTCTTGTCCTTTTCTGCTCCTCAGATATTAGCACTAAGTCTCTCTGAAAACAATAAACAGTTGAATAAAGGAATTCAAACGTTAAAGTCGTAAAATAATCTGTCTCACTGATAAAGACAGCAGTGGTTCAACACAACTTCTGTGTGGTGTGATTTAAAAACACTGATTTTCACAATGGTCAAAACATTTCACAAAGACATAGCTAGTGTCTGTGTGGTTGTTTCCAAACCTCCAGGGCCTCATGTTGTCTCAGCAGAGTGTGGATAGACTGCAGGTCTTGTCCCTGCTCCTCTGAGTCCAGAGCAGCCTCTTTCTCAGACATCCAGGCCTTCAGCTCGTCCACATCATGGTTGAACTGGTGGACCTCTTTCGCTGATTGTAGAATCTATGAAACAGCAGAAAAAATTACTGATGACAATGCCAATTTGAGGTCTTACTCAGAGCAGCATCCTCATGGTCCCACCTGCTCCCTGGCTCTGATGCTGCTGCTAAGCTCCTCCCAAATCCTGCTGAGGTCATCGTCTATCCTACGTGCCACTCCGTCCTGCTGCCTCTGCAGACCTCGACCCAACTGCTGCACCGACGACAGTCTACTGCGACCAAGACCTGAAACCTCTGACGCCAGAACTTCCGACTTCTTTTGAAGAACCTGAGAACAAATTTGTTTCCAATCATTTGCCAAAAATTACTAGTACTATTACTGCAAATTGATATTTGCGTTACGGTATATAATATTGATGTATGCAATAGTTGACGTATATAAAAGCACGCAATAAAACTGAAAGAATTATTATCTTCTGTTTGTATCATTATCAATTTTGAAACTTTTTTTGTAAATATTAAAAAAGTATTTCTACTTGATTATTAATTTTATACTGAATGTCCATACATGGTAATTGTTATTTTTTTATCTTGATGACAAATTTATACACTACAGGTTTCTGCCTCTTGGACCTCTGACCTTTAAGTTTTAGTTACTAGGACTTAGTGGATTTCCTTGAAATTCCAAGCTTTTATTTTGAAGTCTCTTCTCTTCCTTAGTTTTACCTCAACATCCTCCAGATCTTGTCCACAGTCTTCAGATTCAACCAGTGTCTTTTTAGACATCAGCCACGTCTGCAGCTCTTCAGCTTCACGTTCAAAGACAAAGAGCCGCAGCTGATCTTCTAGTGCAGCACGACGAGACACTGAGAGTTGGAGGACGTTCTGGAAGAGCTTGAGGACGGTGGGCAACAAATCAGAGACCAGGTAACTGCAAACACACAGAGACTGTCAGCAATCCTTTTATGATGTATTTCTTATCTTTTGAATGTGTAAATAATGACCTCTGAGGATGACGGAGGTTCTGAAGTGATTCTCCACTCTCCTGCAGCCTCATCAGCGCCCTCCTCTGGTTCTCCAGCTCCATATCCACAGTGTCCAGCTTCCTTAGCAGAGACTCGGAAACCTCTTCGCTCCGGCCAGGGTCATGTGACTCCAGACCTGCCCGCTGCTGCTGAAGCCACAGCTCCACTTCTGACAGCTACACACACACACATGCACATTAATTAAAATATAATTAATATACATACATGGAAAGAGAGCAGTTATCGTATTCTACATTTACTGTAATTGCATTATTTATGTGTAGTTTTTCAACCAACAACAACATGCATCACTTAGCTTAGCTCACTTGCTTTTTTAATTTTCAAATCATAAATTAATCCCATTCAACATGTAATACCAGTATAAACCACTAGATGAGTAATCATCTAATGACAAAAACTGGCGTAGAGGCGCTCTTCTTTTTATATTATCAATAATAATAATTATAACAATAATAACACATATTATTATCATGATATAATGTTACAACTATTTTAAAAATTAAGTTTTTATTTAGTTTATTAAATCTCTAATAAATAAAAACCTCAGATAGGAAGCTATGGATGCTCAGCGACTCCTGCAGGAGTTTCCCCTTCCTCTCTGCTGCTCTAGTGAGCTCCCCATGGAGACTCTTCACCTCCTGCAGACGTTCTCTTATATCATGTGAAGCAAAGTGACGACCTCTGACCTGAGGAGGTTAAATATGTAGCACATCAGAGAAAAAAATTCAGGTGGTTTTTTAATCTATATAGAAGAAGAGTTCCTTACTAAACTTTGCCCCGCCTCCTGAACTGCCTGGAACAATTGAGCTCTGCTGGATATCTCCTGCATTACAGCCTGAAAAAATCAGAATACAGTAATTATAATTATTATAAAATAACATTTACAATTATTGTTGTTCAAGACCTCAAGGCCAATGATTACAAATTTAAAAAGTCCAGACAAGAGGTAAATATGCCCTGATCTGGCAGCAGAGGGCGCTCTGAGTACAGACAGCTGTCAACACTGACCTGGTGTTGGTGCAGGAGCTGCTGACTGCCACTCAGTGTTTTCTCCAGGTCTTCAGAAGAGACACTGGGCAGTTTACGTGTGATCCATGTCACCTCCTCCTCCACGTCTCTGTAGAACTGGAACAGTACCTGCCAGGCATCCAGGGTCTCCCTGCGACTCTGCAGGGGTCGGGACAGGCTGTTGTACCTGAAACAAACGTCAATACAGATACACAAATTGATTTATTTTACATTTAAATATGACCGTGCTCCTTCTGCTGGTACTGAAAGAAATGTTACCAAACAAACGTCAATACAGATACACAAATAACATTTAAACATGACAAACCTCTACTGTAGACACAAAGTAACTCTGAAATAACCTCGACCCTTCATTTATATTCATTTTTCTAGTCAATCTCATCAAGTGTGAATAACCATTCTTTCTGATAAGGAGAGCTACTTCAATGCTACTGAGTAGAAATTGAGCCAAACACTCATCGTTGAACCTGTTGACGGTGTGGGTCACTCTGGTCTGGATCTCCTCAGCCAGAAAGTTTCCCTCGGTGTGGAAGCTCTTGGCTGTTTCCATCACAGCCTGAACAAAAGATAAAAAGAGGTAAAAAGATCCGTTTGGTCAGAACCAAACAGATAATAAAGACTCAGTTCAGCTCAGGACAGTTTCTGGACCTGAATTCTGTCCCTCAGTCCGTCCACCTCATCCTCCAGAACCTGCAGCTTCTTCAGCAGCCTGTTGACTGACTGCAGGTCAGAACCAGTGTCTTCACTGGACACTTCCTTCTCCACTGACAACACACACTGTTCTACATCATCCAGAGAACGCTGGAACTGCAGAGCCTGAAACACAAACACTGGTGGTAAAGAATCTGGTGGTAAGAACACAGAAGAGTTTTTGTGTGTGTGTGTGTTCTTTGTGTGTGTGCTAACCCGGTAGGCTTCCTGCAAACGGTTCTTTTTCTCCTGACAGTTTTGGATCAGAGTTTTCCAGCCCTCTGTCAGTTCTCTGAGTCGACCTCTGATCTTCACTTCAGCTGGAGCTGACGACAGTTTCTCTGCCTCCTGTGACACACGCACACACACACCCTTGAAGGACTATTTTTTTCAGATAAAAAAGTGGTGGTCCATCTCACACACACACACACACATACAAACACACAGACCTTAGTTAGTGCATCCACTCTGCAGCGATTGGCCAGAATCTCAGCCTCAAAGCTCTGATGTTTCAACTGTTTGGCCTGAAGATTGATTGGTTCTCTCCAGTTCTCATCCAATGCCACAGCATTTCGCTCATTGATCCACACAGACAGCTGAGAAACACACAGAAAATAGGAAATAGAGTACAGAGAACCACATCAGGGCAGTAGGGGGCAGTATATTACTGTTGATAAGCACACTCCGAAACAGTGAAGTGAATTGAAGTGCAGTAAATTGTAGGAGAATACCTGGTAACTGTTGGAGAAAAACTGCTGCAGCTGCAGAGACTGATCCAGAGCTTTGTGACGGGATTTACTGTGCTGCTGTAACTGGCTCCACCTACAAAGACAGAGAGAAGAACTGCATTGTGGATCCAGCACTTTAATGTGGCAATGAAAACATGTTTAATAATTTAAGAAACCAAACTAGCACGAGCAGATAAAACCGTTTTTACGTCTTCATCTCAGCACATTGTCCAATCGGAACACAAAGACAATGATAATGATACATGATAACAACCCTTAGTCTGTACATAACAGGTATGACTGCAGCCCCACCTAGTGGCGAGGGCTCTGCTTTTGCTCCTAACGTTCTCGGAGTCATAGTGGTTCTGCTGGATCATCTCCTTGGCCAGTTTCTCCACCTGATCCAGCTGCTCAACTTGAGCCTCCAGAGTCTCTTCAAACTGTGTCTGTTGTCTCTTCAGAGTCTCCACCTCTGTCACTGAGCTCTGAAAATACATAAATAACACCACCACTTTCACCTTCATCACCATGGTGTCCAGACACAACACAATAATAAAAAAAAAAGAATAAAGTCCTCTGTACCCCCAGGTTCTGATTGGACAGGAAGGCCTCCCTGCTACTGAGCCATGTCTCACACTGCTCCACAGAGACCAGGAAGACCTGCAGGAGGACATCAAGTTAGGCTCCACCCTCAACATGCTTAAAGACAAGTTCTCCATTAATAAACTCTATACAGCAGTGGTGATCCTTATTTGGTTCCCTTTTGGCCAGCACCCACAAATGCACAGATGTTTGTCCCCTTCTCTGTAAAAAGTAACTCACAGGATCTGGGCAGCACCCACAAATGCACAGATGTTTGTTCCCTTCTCTGTAAAAAGTAACTCACAGATTCAGTGTAAAAACTAAACAGACCCAGGAGATGGAGGAAGCTGAGGCCGGTGCTGGTGGTCTCAAGGTGTTTAGCAGGTTGTTCACCGGAGCCGGTAAATATGCAAGGCTGCTATTGTATCATTAATATGATAAATTAAATGTTCTTTATGTTTCATTTCAGGAATCAGAACGGCTGCACAGACATTAGTTTAAAATACACCTGTGTTCTCTACACCCTTTAACTAAATGTCTAAACCTTTTCTGTGGCTCTAAAATCCCCTGTAATGGGAGTTATCAGGTCAAATGTAGATAATGAAACATCAACTTCTGAACCAACCATACAAAATTAAGATTGTTTGGTGTTGGAAACAGGAAGTACGGTGACCTGTGTTTGTTACCTGCAGGGTTCTTGACTGCTCCAGTGCCTTGCTGCGGTTTAGCCAGGCTCGTTCCAGTCCTTCTTTAGCCTCCTCCAGCTGCTGCAAACACTTCTGAATCTCCGCTTTGGATGAGTGATTAGACCGGATCAGACCCAGACCAAAGTCTCGGACAGAGTCAATGCGCTCGGTGCGGGCGTTGATCTCTGTCTGGAAGCAAACATGGACAATTTTCCCCATGTCTGGTGCAGTGACTGTAAAACCTCTAACACATTAACATTAATGCTCACCTTCCAGTCTTGATGCTCCAAGATGAGCCGCTCAACCTCAGTTCTGGACTTGGGGAGAGTTTTCTCCTTCATGTCGTTGCTTTGTTTGATGCTCCATTCCAGCAGGAGGCGCTGATTGGCTTTAAAGAGCATCAGCTGGTGCACTTCCTGCAGCCTCTCCTTCCTGAACAACAGCATATACCATGAGGTTATCTGTTAGCCATAAAAGAACTCAGCGGATGCTTACGGTGGAGGAACTGTAGAATCAGCCTCACCGGTGTTGGACTTCTGTGTCCAGAGACTTCTGGACCTTCTGAGTCTCCTTCAGTTTATTCTTCAGTTGGTCCTTCAGCACTGATGAGGACTTCAGATGACTTAATGCCTCATTCTCCAGAGCCTGGGGAGGAGTGAGAATTAGAACAACGACATGATGACCTCACACTGCAGTGTATAATTGTGGAACAAACGTATCCCACCTTTGACCTCTCCTGGATGACCCCAGCCTCTCTCTCTGTTTCCTCATGGCGTCTGATCAGGTTCTCCACACTCTCCACATCTACACCAAAGCCTTGACCCTGCAGCAGCAGGATCTAGAAGATCAAAAAGATAGAATTTAGTTTTTAAACTCACTGCAACACCAGTTCTCGAAGGCTCCTCACTGTCACAGACGTCTCACCTTCTCACTGGCTCTGTCCCTGACCTCCTCCAGCTCTCTGATGAATTCATGAATCACCAGTGCCTCCTCCAGCTTCTTCTTGTAGGAACTGAGGTCTCCATGGAACTTGCTCCACCTGGACAAGAAAAAACATTCAAAATACAAACATGGAAGTCACAGAAAAGACAGGATATGGCACTAGTGTTACCGGTCGGTAAGTTGTCGCCTCCGTTGTCTGACGGTTGCTAATTCGTCACCAGTCTGTCTTTTCTCTAGTCTGGCTGCTAGTTTGTCAATGGCTGTGATATGGGCATCGTCCACCGTGGCCTCCTGCAGCATAAACATCAGATTTGAAAGCAGATATGATGATGATAAAAATGTCTGCAGGGTGTGCACAGGAAAGTGTAAACTTGTAAACTTTATGAGTGTATATTCTAAATATCAGCCTTGTTTAATGTTCTTTCACTTTTTGGAATGACTTCCCTTTTAATACATATCTTGTATAAAAGTTCAACAGAACAGTATAAAAACATTGACAAGAAAATAAAATAACAGAATATGCTGATAATCTGTGTTAAGTTACATAAGATATTATAATATTGTGTAAATGGTAAAAAACCCACTTTGTTTGCTGAAAAACAATAAGAAAATGAAAGAAATTAAATTAACAAAGAAAATTCCAACTAACAAGTTGGTGCTAAACTTACTCCATCTCCACTTCCTCTGAACTCTCCAAGCTTCTTCAGCAGCTGAAGTCCATGTTCATAGTCCTCACCAACATCTCCCACATTCACCATCACCTCCTGAAACATGAAGAATACTCTTCAGGTCCAGGGCTTGTGGCTTACACCATGACATAATTGAATTTTACAGTCTTCTTCTCACCTTGTGTCTGATCCAGGCTTCCACCTTCTCAACCTTCTGGAGAAACTCCAGGAAGTCTCTGTTCGCTTCCAGGGCTATCCCCCTGGAGGCCACAGCGTTCCTGAGCTCCTCCCAGAGGAGCTTCAGGGCAGCGGTGCTCTTCTTCACCTCCTTGGACTTTGGGTGAAAGAGAGAAACCAGCTCATCTCCAGACTAGAGATACATGAGAGGAAAGAAGACAAACAGAGTGAAATTTACCACAGGTCACAACATTTCTCATATATTTCTCATCTCATCTCATTGGTCTTTATCTTAAAACTCCGAACCGCATTTCCAAGGACAAAAACAAACACAACAAGGTCGGACCTTGATCATCTCAACTGTTGGTCCATATGTCAATAATAATCTCATTTCCTGTCACATGTTATCTCATCTCACCTGCATAACACTGTTGATAATCTCACTGTGTGCCAGGATCTCAGCCTCAAACACCTGATGTTTCTGCAGGAGCTTCATCTTGGTCTGAAGGTCACTCAGTTCAGCTTTTCCAGCCTCCGTCATCTTGAGCATACGCTCAGAAACCCACTCCTCAGCCTGACAGAACCAAACACATGAGTAAAGATACTGCACAATAGAAAGATGTTTCCTCAATCATTGTTGTTTACCTGAGCAACATCTCGGTTGAAGATGCACAGCATCCTGGAGAGTTCCAGCTCCTGTCTGCGTTTGACAGACAATTCTTTGATCCTGTCTCGTCTTTGGAGGAGGGCTCTGAGTTTGGACTGGACATGAGCGCTCTTCTCTCGACTCAGCTGCTGCTTCAGCCGATCAGCAACTTCCTTCAGGGCAGCAAGCTGGAAGATAGAAAAATCAAAAAGATCAAATAATGTATTTAAAAATCTTTCTGTTGGGTTCAAACTCTCTCTGACCCACTCCAGCAGATGAAACAGACCTTTTCATCCTGTGAGCTGAGAAACTTCTCAAAAGCTTCATGGCGTTTGATCAAAGCCTCTGTTTCGTCCACAGTGTTTCCAAAAGTGCTGTTCTGCAGCAGGACCTGAGGAGGAACCAGCAAGGATTTAGCACAGATTTTACAGTAAAATCAATGGACCATGAAGACTCAGCACAGAGGACTAGGCCTGGGACCATAATCAATAAATCTCTTAGTTGCACGATAAATTAAATTTGGATATATTGCCATGTGTGTCTGTTTTCCTCTTGTCTCGCCTCCAAACAGGCTGAATGACAAGAGGGTTCACTCTGTGCATACGTCTCAGCTACAGTTGACAAAAAGCTGACCAACTATACAGCTAATGTTTCCTTGTAGTTTTGGAGTGAGGGTTGTTTATTCACTTATCATGATAATCAATTTATGTAAATAACTTGGCCTAAAAATTCCTGTTCACCTAAATGGTCCTGAATTATCCTTCTCAGGACAAATATGTGGATTTCTCCTACCTCCTGTGAGCTGGACGTCTTGTCCATGCTGCTGACGTCTCTGTAGAAGATTTGCTCCAGATAGATAGTTTCTAACCAGCTTTTTTTCCTCTTCCAGTGATCTCTAAGTTTTTCTCGCTCACTCTGCAGAGCATCGAGCTTTTCCAGAACCTGCAATAAAACATGTTTGATGTTTTCTTAAGAAGGCTGGTTATCTGGGAAGTCGTACCCTAATTTTCACTTTAAAAATGTTAGCATTTGTGAAACTGTATGTCTATAAAGTCAGTGTGGATGAGAAGACTTCAAACCTCTTTCCAGCAGACGTCCTCACCTCTGTCTTATGTCTTTTATCCTGCTTCTGCAGTACTTTCCCCACATTCACAGCTTGGTGGTACGTCTCCTCTCTGGCCTCCATCTCCGCCCACAGCTGCTGGTGTTGGACCAGCTGGAGGTCGGCCGTGGCCATATCACTGATGCTCTCCTCGGCTGCCATCATGTCGATCAGCTGACCGCACCACAAGAGATAGTCCTGGACCTGGACAGGAAACAGAAACATGACTTTTTGACTTCATGATCACATTGTCATCGTCATTTTCATCAACGTTGTCCTTGTCGTTTTATCATCAAAGTCTTTGTCATCATCAATCACCTGATTGGTTTCTCCACTCACCGTGTTCAGGAACAGGTAACGCTCACAGGCCAGTTTTAGCTCCTCCTGCCTCTGCTCTGTGGAAAGTCGTAGCTCCTCCCACTGCTCCAACACTTTCTGCTGCACGTTCTGTAGCCGGAGCTTCAGCTGAGGCGTACACAGGTGCAGGACAGCATCTACAGCATCCAGCTGCTCCTGCAACTGTAACACACATCACTTTATAATAAGGGTTTTTTTTATTTTGTATCTAAATAGTAAATGTATTTAAATTATATTTTTAAAACCTTACAATTATTGATCATCTCATGATTTTAATCTTTTAAATGTGAATGTTTAATTTCAGATTTGATAGTTTTTGATGACATTCTTAATGGCTCCCTTAAAACTTAAGTACTTGCTACATTACTTTACTTTTGAGCTCAAACCTCTTCACGTTCTCTCATTATTATTATTTTACAGTAATAGGAAAGTTTTACTACTACTATTTCACTACTACTTTCTTTAATATAATACCTACTTCTCCTGGTTTCGTCCTACTATTTATTTTTATCATGTTTTAATTATTGTTTTACTTTTGGTCCAGTAAGGTAGACTGTTTTAAAGTATGAGTTTTCATTTTTCTTTTACTCTTAATCTTTTTTTTTAAGTATTTGAACTAAAGGGTAATTGTGGACACCTTTTTTCATGGATTAAAGAAATAAAAGGCTGCAGATGATTCAACATAACAAAATACTATCAAAGGTTTTTCATCAGGCTGCTTTGATTCTGTACCTGTTGTTCAGTGACGGCCAGTTCATGCAGCAGAGCTTCATGTTTCCTCAGTTGGAAAATTACTCCTTGAAGATCCTTGGCTACAGCGTCAGGGATGCTTTTCTGACGCTCCTTCAGAGACAGAAAAATAGACAATTACAACTTGCTTATGATTTAGATTTTTTTTTATTCTTACATTTATTAAAAGCTCACTAATTTAGTTCACTATTTTAAATTAAACTGTTTTAACCAAGTTATTACTGCATAGTAAAATGTACATTAATTATAACTTTTTAAACCATAACCTGGATGAGCATCAGTGCATCACTTAGTTCCTGGTAAAATCGATGACATTCTCGGGCCCTGTGCAGCTGATCCTGACGCTCTCTGGCCAAGCCCTTTAAATTCACCCAGCATGCACTGCAAAAGAACAAAGTCGCAGTTTCACAGCAGGCCAGGTGCTCAGCTTTATTAGTAATACATGGTTTAAACTAACTCAAGCTGCTGAAATGTGTCTCGGACTGCTGCACTCTGAGGATGTTTGTTATGTACGAGTCGAGCAGCTGTGTCGCTGCAGCTCTGCAGTCGCTCCTCTCCGACTTCCAGCTTCTTCAGAAAACCTTCAAACTTCTCACAAAGCACCTGTAAAATACAAACCATAACACATTTAAATGATGTACTGAAATATTTAAAGAGTGTTTTGTGAAAACGTGAATAACATATTCTCAGAATGTCCGATTGAACCTGAACGTGCTGGTAGTCGTTGCCCAAATCCTGAGACTCAGCTGTTTGTCTCTGCTGATTAATCCAGTCCTCCAACTGAGAAGATTCAGATCTAAATTCATGGAGCTGCAAGACTTCCTTTAACTTCTGAGCCCTGTCAGGAAACAGGACAAAAGTGAAGTGAAGCTACTGGAGCAGCAGAGGAACATCTGAACAATGATCCTCTGATGAGCCTCCATCTGTTCTTCACCTGAGAGCAGACTGGTGCTGCAGCTGCTGGTTGAGGCTGCTCAGACGGCTGTAGGGTCTACTGAGCTCTTCCAGACTCCACTTCTGCACTGCCTGCTCCACTTGCTCCCCCAGCTCCTCCACCTCCACCTCCAGTACCTCCAGTTGACCCTCTAATACCTGTGGAAGTAACAAGTACAGCTCACACATTCACAATTTTGTTCTGGGGGGTTTTCCGCTGTTAGTGCTGCTGTAACCTGGTGTTTAGTGATAAGACTCTGTGTAGCCAGGTGATCTTTTCCATAGTCATCAGGTTTCAGCAGGTTGATCTTCTCAGAGAGTCTGGACTCAAGCTCAGAGCAGTCCAACAGCAGCTGGAGACACATAAAACATGGCATAACATGATGACAAAGGTCGGGTAAGAAAGAGCAATGTTGGGTTTGTGTCAATACTGTAAAAACAACAATAGCTGTATTGTTTTTATTAATTATATGTATCAATACAGTATTACCCACATGTAATTTGTTCTATGTTTGTGGTTTCTTGTATAAGATACCTTGACGTAATAATATTAGTAGCTAGATATTGAGCTATAAGAGGGTTAGCATGTTCAGATAACTTTTTAATACGCAGCATAGTCCATCATACAATTGGTAATAGCTGCGTCAAGATGATGCTTACAATAACTTTGTTTATCCATTACATATGTAGTAGATTCATTAGAGTCAGGCTAACGATGGCAAAACATCCATATACTGCAGTAAACAGTATATAGATGTAAACAGTACAGGGTAAACCTTTTATTATTGTAACTCAAGCAGCTAGTGTATGTAACAATGTTATTTATGTGTTGTAACAGTAGTGTTACATTAATCAATTTAGTTAGTATTGGCTTCCTTTAAGTGATGCTTACAAACAGCTACATGTCATCAGCCATGTCATCACATGTAATGAGGTTTAGCTGTCTTAAAGAGATGTTAACAGAAACTAAGCATTTAACACTATATTCAGTGTAAGCTTCAGTCGATGACCTCTTTGACCTTCTGACCTGTTCTCTGGTGATGGCCTTGCTCAGGTGAGCTGTCCTCCTCTTACAGGTCTCTTCAAGTTCCTCCCACTCTGCACTCAGGTGGCGGCACCTTCAAAACATTTTATTAACATCTGGGTTAAATCATTAAACGTGGGTTTTACACTTATTTTGGTTTTAGGAGAATACACCTCTGAAGCACTTCCTCTCCATCTGATCTGCTGGTTCTAGCCAGACTCCGTCCCTTCTCCAGGATATAATTCAGGTGTTTTCTGTGTGCGTTCACTTCACCCTGCAACTCCTAAGTCAACACACAAGAACTGGATTTTTATTTCAGATCATCTGATTCACCAGAAGATACACCTGGCGAACTGGGGACATACTGTATCACCACCAACAGTATCTACAGTAGGATCTGACCTTCTGCTTCTGCATGAGGCTGATGGCTCCAGCCAGAGACTTATCATAGCCTGTAGAGCCAGAGGCAGGAAGATGTTCAGAGATCCAGCTCAGCTCCAGGTCCACATCATGGTAGAAACCAAAGAGCAGTACCAACGCCTCCAACTGACCTCGACGTTGGTCCAGAGGCTTCTGGAGGGATTTAAACCTATGGCACACATCATTTCATAAATCACTGACTATGTTTTATCAGGTCTGGCTAAGCTAACTCAAAGTGTGTCAAAAATAAAGAATCAGCTTCAGTTGTAGCATTGTGATAGCTTTCTGTGGACTCACAGAGTGAGATAAGTGTCTGTTTCCTGCAGGATCCTGTGAGAGTCAAAGTGGTTGGAGGCCAGGTGTTTGGCTCTGCTGACGATGGAGTTAATCTTCTCTGCCAGGTCCTTGGCCTCCTGCTCCAACTTTTGGTGCTCCTAAAAAGACAACACGTTTTATAGTTTAACAGAGGAAATACAAACAGTTTTTATGACTAACTTAAAGTTCAAGATAAGTGACATCACCTTTAGCAGCTGTCGACTGGAGCGAAGATCATGACCCTTAGTGGCGTTGTTGAGCATCCACCTAATGGCTTCAATTTTCAGTTTGGCGTCCTTACGAAGTGAGGACACAAGTTAGACCATGTTTCTAAATAAATTAGCTTGACTAGTTGTTTAAGCCTAATCATCCATAATATATATGTTTTTTTGTTTTGTTTTTTAAATGCTAATGTACCATTTTTACTTATCAAGTCTCTGGGCAGATGTTTACCTGCAGCAGCTCCATAAGCTGCTCCTGTTGTCCAGCTTGTCTCAGTTTGTCTCCTCTGTCCATCATCTTGTCCTGAAGTCTCCTCCAGCGGCTGCTCAACTGCGTCATCTTTCTGCTGATGTTGGAGCTGTTCTGACGATCTTCACTCAGCATTTCCTGACCCAGCTGGAAAATACACACATGGAAACGGTTTGTATTTTTCTCAAACTCAAATACCTTCTCACTCAGTGAAAATGTCCTCACAAGTATGCACGTTTTGTTTTTGTTTTGTTTTTTTGGTTTATAAAACAGCAATTTGTTGTGACTCCAAAACTATGGATATACTAATATTTAGCCAAATTACCTGAAGCAGTTTGTCCAGTCGGACCTGGTTGGCCTGCACCTCACTCTCAGCAGCTTCATGTCTCTTCAGCTTGGACAGGATGTTGGTGGGATCTCGGTACGACTCGTCCTCAGCCAACTTGAACTTCTCGTCCATCCACAGCAGCAGCTCATCTGCATCACGTTGAAACTCCTGCAAACAGATTATTCTGTTACTAATACAGTGGTTCTCAAACTTTTTTCATTACATACCATTCCTGGAAGATCTGTCTCTCCCAGTACCACCAGTTCGACCAGCTTTAAGGTACAGCAGACCAGTATGTGGATAATATTAAGATTATTAGAATGGTAATCAGACAAAGCCACACTGGTGCTCTCAGCTGGTTCACTTTCACCCACCCTGGTCTCTGCAGGGCTTCTTGATATTTTTATGTTCTCCCCCTGATTGAAGCCACAGCTACAGTGTGTCTGATTCCTTCTAGTTGTATAGCTGCACTAGAGCTGTACAAGGTTTGATTCCGATGGTGGACAGACCTGGTATTTCTTAGAGGCCAGCAGCAGACTCCTTCTCTCTGTGCTGCGCTCCTTCAGCCTCATATTGGCCTTCTGGATGTTCCTGCTTCTGTCCTTGATGCTGAAAACACAGAATAAAGGGACAGTTCAGGTTTTAAGAGCAGGCATTTAAATCACAATGTATAAGATAGCTAAGAAATAATACTTTGTTACATCATAGCAAACATGAATTGTTGATTCACTGGTGATGGATCAACACCAGAGGCAAATGTTAACAAATATCTGTGTACTGAGGAGCTGAAAGTGACGATTTATTTATGGAAAATAAGGAACTAAATTGAATTTTAAATATTACAGCTTAAGATATTCACTATTCTCTCCATCCACTGTTTTCTGTTCTTACTGTTTGGCAGCATAGTGTTGCTGGTTAACGAGCTCCAGGCTGCGTTGACTGAACTGATCGACCCGTTGGTCCAGAGCCTTCAGAAGACCTTCCAGCTCATCCTGTCGACCCAGCAGACTGTGGACACCATCCACTGAGTCCTGGAGACAAAAGGTTGAACTATAATTGGTCTAATAGCATAAAGGCAGGTCAAAGTGCAGCGTCCTCACTCACCCCGACATCTATGACCCTCAGCCTGGCCTCATGTCCAGACAGCGTCGTTTCAATGCGGTCTCCCTCCTGGTTCAGCCTTTGAAGCTCCACCTCCTGCTCCAGCTGCTGCTTCCTTTTGGTCCACAGCTTGTGAAGTTTGGACCAGTCAGCAGATAGAAGGTCCAGGGTTGCCTGGATGTCAGCGTTCCTAGCTCCATTCCTGTGTGAAGACTCCTGAAGAGATTTTCCCAACTTCTCCATCTGCATAAAACTGAGAAACACTTGAGAACTTCAGCAGATTCAATGACCGAGGGGTACGTCACACTCACTCAGGACTCCTTCTCCATTACCCCCCCGCCCCATTCCTTTCTCTTCTTCTGTTTGCACCTTGTTCCTTCTCGCCTAGTTCTTATGAATTGCTCCTGACTTTCATAGTTACCTGCGTCTCTGCTCCTCCATCTCCAGCCACAGCTCCTCGTGTTGATCCAGAAGTGCTAGGGCTGAGGCCACATCACTAGCTGTTTCCTCCTGCAGGAGGCGCTCCTTTGCAGAACCCATCCAGCACTGAAGCTCTTTGGTCTGCTGTTGAAAGTTCTGCAGCCTGCGTGCCTCCTCCAGGTGGCGCTGTCGCTCTGCTGCCTGATGTTTTACCTTAAGGTATAAAACAGAGAAAGCGGTTTAGATTAGGAAGAGAGTAGTTAGAGACATTTTCAGGTCTTATCTCCTTAATCAAAAAATGTTTCTTTAAAAAAGTATAAAATACACTCAGACCTTTTTCAGCAGAGCCTCCAGAGTTCGAACCTGTTCCATGATGGCTGCACTCTCTGCTGGACTACAGTCCTGCTTCCTGTAAGACAGAAGAAAAAAGCATCACAGTCAATGTGTTTAGAACAAGACACCACTGAAGCTCTCTCTCTTTGGTTATTTTCTGTCTCATAATTTCAGTATTTTTACCCTTTCACAGCAGTCAGTTAGGTGATATATGCGTTTATATTTTCATACCTAATGAATCAAATAGAGACTAGTTGAGTTGAAGTTAAATTATTCATTGATCTTATTAGTTGGTGTAACTGTTTTTTCCTTCTACATTAATCATTATATGATCCGCTATAGTTCTCTGTACTTTACAAATAAAACTTGAGCCTTACATCATGGCCACGTTTTTCAGGTAGGCTATCTTGGCCTCTAGGGCTTGGATGTCTCTGAGGGTTTGGGCCTGACTCTTCTCCTCATTTAGGAGTGTGAAGTAGCTACAGTTCAAATCTAAAGGTTCCAGATGCTCCAGCTGATCTTGAAGTTGACCTTTGGCCTCCTCACAGCTCTGCAGGAAACAGTGCACATCAGCCGTGCTCAGCAGCTCATGTCCCTTCTCGTCCTTTAGCTGCTGGATTCGGTCCCACCTGTGGATAAGACCAGGGTTTGAGCACTCGTTTTTATCACTGCCCATCACCGATGGCTCCTGTTGTTTTTGTACCTGCTGGACACTGCCCTCAGCCTGGTCTGGACCTCTCTATGTTTAATGTGTCCACTCTTCACGAGCTCCTCTGCCATTTTCATGATGTCATCCAACTGGCCACGTCCACTCACCAACTCAGTCAAAAAGTTCTGAGATAGAAAGGGTCACAGGATTAAACCAGAGTCATGACACTAGAAAACAATTCACAATTTAAATTGAAAAAATAATAAGCCAAGCTGGTTTATGTTTGTCTGGATTCAACCCCCACTTTTCAGTCTTTTTAGCAAAGATGAGCTACCCCAGGAAAAACATGGTGTGACAAATGTTCTCATACTGAGCGAGAGAAAACTAAAATTAAAAACCTCAAACTTGGCCTGAACCACTCCCAGGTTGTCAGGATCAGCACTAAAGGTGTTCAGGATGTTCTCCTTGTCTTGCATCCATGACTCAAACTCCAGGCAGCTGTTGTAGAATCGATGTAGACGCAGCATCTCCTCCAGGTTTCTTGTTTTTGACTATAAAAACAAGAAACAACAAGTTCAGCATCAAATATTTTTTACAACAATTATATTCTTTAATGCTAGGCCAGAAATAGATGACAGTGTGAACAACCACCAGGAGCGAGGAGTGATTTCCCATCATCCTATCCTTTATGCTGTGATTGTTCTTTCAGTTGCCTCTTTACTCAGTCATTAAGTTTAGATAATTACCTTTTTAAGGAACTCTGTTTGTTTTGCAATTCTTTAATTAAATCAACATTTGTTAAAAGCAGCAGTTCTGTCACATTTCCCATGATGCCCGTCACTCACCTTGACCAGGTTGTACAGAGAGTCGAACTCCTGCTGCAGTTGTGCCTGCGTCCCCTCCACTGTCTGTCTCTGGTACTGTGGGTCAGGGAGACATGTTGTCTGGATCTCACCTGTGTTGTTACGCAGAGATCGTCTTCTTCTGGGCCTACTGCGCTTCTTGCTCAGGCCATCGGGAGGCCCAGTGGTGAAGTTGAGTTCCTTTGCTGGAGTCACCTGAGAAGTTTGTATGATTATATTTTAAATTTGGAAGAAAGTTTTCTTGCATGTTCACACAACTTTGTATTAAAATTAATTTTAAACAACATTCCTACGATTCTACCATCTCCTGTTGCCTGTTTCATTCATACATAAATTCATTTATCTTCTATCTGAAGAAATCCAACAAACATGAAAAGAACATGCACATTTTATACAGAAACCAGCTTCAGCAGAACCTTTAAACTTTATACAAATAATTAACTGAAAATTGATTAATGTCAGTGCCAATCACTGACATGGAACCAGGTAATGATCAGTAAATTAAATAATTCTCTAGAACATTAACCTTTTTTAGAATATTTTGTGACTAAAATGTTACTAATCGTACATTAGGGGGTAGCAAAGTCAGGTAGGTTTTAGGGATTATTTGTTGGTTTCCTCTACTGTCTTGTGCCAGAACCCGATCTCCATCCGGTTCTTGACGGAGGACTGTTACAATTTCATTATGGTTCCATGGAAACTTTCCTGCAGAGAAGAAACCAATTGTCTTTAGAACAATTTTATTTTTAATAGCCATAAATACAGTAAAAATATATCATTATGTCATACAAGCTAATTGGCCAGCTGCCTGGTACCTTTTAAACTTTAGAACTATTGTGTATACAGTTTGTTATGTTACCTCTGCTGTATCTGAAGCGAATCTTGGCTTTGCACTCCTCACTCTCGGGTGAGGTTATGACAGAGCCCCGCCCACTTTTAGGGTGTTGTGGCTCCTCTTCCTCTTCAGACGAGTCACTGTGTTGGATGATTTTGCTCTGTGGAGGTTCCGCCTACACAGAGAGGACACAGTCAGTCCCACAACTATTTTATTAAAAGACTTGTTTTTGTTCTATTTCTTTTGAAGCGAAAGGGATCAGACTGTGATCAACGGCATTTCGTTTTAGATTTTTTGTCACTCTGTTCCCGATCAGTCATTCACACTCACAGTTAGTGCTGTTAGCTGGGCGGCACTTTTTGCCTGCTCTGATAGTCTCTTGATCTCCGGGCCATATGCCATCATCTCTTTTTCCAGGCGCAGGTAACGCTGCAGGAGTGTGGTGGTGCTTGACTCATCTTTTCCTCGGTCGTCGCTGGAAAGCAGTGGTTTCCTGTCACTCAACCATGAGTCGGCTTCCGCCACATCTGCAAAGTACTGTACAAAAGAAATGTTTAGCAAATGACCTGCTGCTGTTTCACTACCTTCACCAGACTGAAAACTAAAACCCTCATTCACCTGTTTAATGGTGGCGGCGGCCTGAAGCCTGTCCCAACGTCCCTTCACCTCATCACTCAGGTGGTTCCACTGCTTCTGCAAAATTCTGGTCCACTTCTGGATGGCAGTCTGGTTGTGTCTGTTCTGTCTGGACAGATCCTGCCCTCGAGCCAGAATTCCCTGGTACAGAGACTCCTGAGCCTGGATCTCTGCCTCGAGCAGCTAAAATAACACATACGCAGCTTAGTTTGTGGATGAGGATTTCAAAGTAGTGCAGTCTCCCACCCATGTCAATGTGGAATGAAGAAAATACTATGAGGACAATGCAGAAGAACATGAAAGAGAGGGACGACCAAGTGGAAGGGCAGTTGTAAGGTAAGACTGACAAAAACCCAGAGGACCCAGAATAAGACAAGACAATAATAATGTGCTGCAGTTGACTTGAATAGATAGAGAGACTTGGTCAATGACCATGCAGCCACGTCCAGGTCTAAGTGTCTCACCTTATGTTTTTGTTGGGCCACTTGAATGTGGTTAAGGTCTCGTCCCAGTCCAGTGGTCTGCAGCTTCAGCAGACGCTCATACAGCCAAGCTTCCAACTCCTCACAGTCATGAAAGAACTCAAACAATCTGAAGTGAGCTTCCAGCTGTGTCCTCCTGAGACATCAGCAGAAAGGACGGACATCGAAAGGTTGATATGATGGATCCATTCTTGGATTATAAACACAAAATGATGAAGAACGTACCTGCTGCTGCAGACTGACACCAGAGATTTATATTGAGCATCCAGAGCTCTCACTCTGCTCTGGATCTGCTGATCACTGCTCACTTTTCCCTGAGAAAGAGACAGAAAAATTAAGAAAGGTCAGTGGACTCATGGTTAGAGTTACCGAAAAACAAACAGGTGGTGGCGCTGTACCCTCAGAGCTCTGCCACTGATGGCAGCAATGGTTTCACCATGAGCAGAGATCTGGGCCTCTAGGAGATCCTGCCTCTGAAGAAGAGACTCCACCTCCGCCAGCTGCTTCCCAAACTCAGAGGACAAGGCCTGAGACTGCAGACCAGAAAAAACAGTAAAGACTGTTTAGTCGATAAAAATAATTTTAAACTTCTGTTTTAAAACAAATTAAATGAAAGTTATATTTGCCTGCAGTTCCTTTAACTCATGGGAAATGAGCTCCACGTCTCTGAGGACACTCAGAGTTTCTACTACATTTCCTAGCAGCCCCCTGTGCTCCTCCAGCTGCTGTAGCAGGTCCCTCCACTTCACACCGATTGTCTGCTCACTTCAGACACACAAGCAGTAAACAATCTTATTTGTTGCAGATGACACTCTTACATTTGCTTTAAAGGAAACGATCCTGAGCCCCTAAATTCCAAAGGCTTTTACCGTGTCCTGATCTGATCCTTGCTGTGGTAGTTTTCTCTCTCCATCGTCTTAGCCATGTCTCTCAGAGCAGTAAAACGAGGCTCTCTCGCCAAAGCATCCGTGGCCAGAGCTTCAAGACGACGTCCTGCTGCCTGAGCCTCCTCCAGAGTGGACAGACCTCTGATGTTCTGCCTCTGGATCAGACGTAACGTGTCCTCCAGGTATCCTTCCCTCAGAGCTGCCTAAAGAATCACAGAAGTGAAAAAGAGGAATACATATTTTAGACATTCAAAAAAAGAAAAAAAAATTTATTTTTTTTTACCTTTCTTCCGAATTTCTGAGCAAGCTGCTCCAGGTTCTCCAGACGAAGCAACGCCTTTTGCAGCGCTCCTTCTCGGTCATGTTCAGCTCTTTCCAGCAGAACCCAGCTCTTCTCTATGTCACTCAAGGTTTTACCTGGACACAGGAAGACAAACATTGGTCTTACAGCATTACAGTATACAATGTCATTCCTTAAAACCATGGATGTTGTCAACTACCTTCTGGAGGATTATATGCCCTCTGGTTGTTGGCCACAAGCTGAGTCTTCAGACTGAACAGATGAGCTTCAAGAGCTCCACGTTCCTAAACACATTGTGTCCGTGATGAATTAATGCTGCATTTCAGCTCTACTGTAAATGTGCTGTAAGCCCTCCCTCCCCCCCTAATCCTGACAGCTTAGTCTCAGTTTTCTACAGTTGTCTCAGGATTTAACTCTGACCTGGTACTTTGGGGGCTTCTCCACGGTTCTGTACATTTTAAAAGACGTCATCAGTGTCTGCATCTCCCTCACAGAGTTTGGAAACTTTCTGTCATTCAGCTGAAGAATCTGCAGATGAACATGAAGCATTTACTGTAAGTTTGACTGTGACACTGGCACATGATTCTTGTTGGTAGGGACGCCTGTTACCTTGGTTCTGATCCAGTGGAGCAGATCTGAGACCATCCTCTCATACTGGACTTTCATACGATCCAGCTCCATAAGTAGGCCCACCATCTGTCCATACACACACACAATGAAGAATATTGATTCACAATGGGAATTCAGACCAACAGCAAATACAGTCAAGTCTTTTGTGAGGATGGAGAATTGGGGGTAGTGCCCCCTGTGGTGTAACCTCACCTTGGCCAGTCTCTTCTGGACGGTCATTTCCTGTTTCATCTTGGAGAAATAGTGGTAGTAGAGTGACACGTAGGTCATGATGGACTTCTCATCAGGCCTCGGCACCAACATGTCCTCAACATCCAGCAGCTGCATGATTCCAAACTCACGGTCGGCCAGAGAGAAGGCATGATCAAGGTTTCTGCGGGGGTCATCACCAGGGAGACGACCGTAGTCAAAAAGGTCAGGCCTGCCATGAGGAAGGACAGAATAAAAAAAAAAGACAAAGATCATAAGATCACTAAAATCACACCAGAACAGTTTTGGGACATCAAAATACTTTCACCTGTGTGCATGGATGAGGGCGTTGAAGGCCAGTCCATCTCTCCAGCTTCTGGAAAAGTCCTGAACATTAACTCCACTGTAACCTGCAGTTTTTCTCTGACACCATATCAGCAGAGCCTCCTTCACCGAGCGCTGAGCTACACTGACTTCTCCCTGACATGGAGCAGAAGGAGGATGAGATGACAGTGGAGGAGGAGAAGAGGTAAAATACAGATGGATGATGACAATGGGGGGGAGAAGTAAAATAATAGAGTTGGCAGGAGGAGTAACACAAGAGTCAGAGGAGGGTTGAAGATGGGTTAAACAAATACAAAAAAAAGGAGAGGAGATGAGGAGGACAACAGCAGCTGAAGAAGAATAAGAAGTAAAGAGACATAAAATAGGACGTAATAATAAGATAAGAAAAAAAAGAGAGGAAAAGAGACAGAGTGATGACAATGTGGAAAATAAAGAAGAAGAAAGACAGGAGGAGGAATGGGAGAGAATAATGGGAAAGAGCCTACCTCCCCTAAATCTATGGATCCAATCTGGAACCTGAGGATGATGATCCACAGCAGGCCCAGGATTAGAGTCCGGTCCCCGTCCACCACATTCTCTGGGGCAATCAGATCCACTCTGATCTGTCCCAACACACAGACACAACAAAGTCGTACAAATCTGTTGGTTGGTTGGTTGGGTGAGTGAGTGTGTGAGTGAGTGAGGGACCGACCTTGGTCTTGAGGAAGTTGATGGCAATGCTGTTGTTCTCTAGACAGTGGACTCTCAGTTTGCGTCGACTGGGTGGGGGCAGTGGCGCTTTGCAGATCAGCTCCAGCAGACGGATAAGAGCCACTCCCGTCTTCAGCTCAGTGTAGACGTCAGTCAGCTCTATATCCTCCTGCAGGTTCAGGAGGTAAGGTTAAAAAAAATCAGCTTTTCAAAACCACATTGGCTTCAGACAAGAATATTCTTATTATCAGCTTTATCTAAGTCACCATTGTGTTGAAAACTATATATACTGTATGTATATATTTACAGTACATATGTGTGTATATATACATATACTGTATATATCTGCATACACACAGACATCACAGTGGAAGGTAAGTTTTAACCTTTAGACTCTTACACATTCTTGTTGGTACTGTTTAAACACAATATCTTCATACCTTCTTTTACATTGCTGCACATTTGGACAATTCTTCTGCTCTTTATTAGGAGTAGACAAGAATAAGCGTTACATTATTCTAGTCTAACTCCACCCACTGACATGAACTTTAATGTGGGGAAGCCTGCAGGATACAAATTTTACTTTTCTGTTCTGGCAGCAGGGGGCACTCACAGCACACTCGGCTCTGACTACATGTACTTTACACAACCAAAAAAAAAAATTGAAAAATAATTCTTCCTGACAAATGCAGCTTTGGACACACCAGTGTTTGAACGGGAACAGAACACATAGGTTCCTGTAGGCATGTGTGTCAACACAAGTGATGCATGTGCAGCTCTGTGACAGGACAGGAACTCGTGCGTGTGAAAAGGTGCGTTTGGTAACATCACCATCCTGTGGTTGTACTGTAGAACAGGTTATATAATGTCTTTGTGCTGTGGACAGTCTACATCAGGACGTCCTCAGAGTTCAGATCCTCATTTAGTATCTCCCAGGTTGTGACAGGTCTAAGTGGACACATGTTGGTTCTAACTTTAGACAGTGAAGTGTTTGTCTTTGTGCTTCAGTTAATCACAGCAGGCGACACGTCTTCCTGAAGAACCTCCTGCACTAGGAAGGAACACAAGGCTTCATGGTGCCTCATGTTTAGCCAACCATTAACAAAACATGTTCTTCACATGCCAGTTTGTTTACTCAAACACTACAGTATTTAATTGTTTTTAAAAAACTGCACGTTTGTGTTTGAGTGTGCATATCTCACTTTGTTCTTGTGGAAAACACTATTCATCCACTTGGTGAATGTCTTCTTCTGGACAGACATCCTCTGCTCCTGCAGCTCCCTGAACCGTCCTGCTCCATCCTCCTCCACCACCTCCATCATCCTGACGTGTACCAACAAACAAGGAATGCGTCAAATACATCATAATAATCATAGTGTTAGTCTTTACCAATGCCTGGCTACCTTTCTTTAATCTGCACGTGGTTCAGTGGTTTCTGTGTGAAAACGCTAACTTGTAGAATATGTACCCAGTAGAGGGATGTGATGTAAATGAGAATTAATCCTGTTTTTCTGTTACTTTCTAAGGCTTAAAAGGAATTGAAACCAATTAAATAGGACAATTTAGTCAAGTAAAAAGACAAGACAAGTCACTAAACAGAGAAAGAATTGCTCAGTGATTTAGTAACAAACAGCACAGAGCAGGGCTGTACTCTACGTTCTGAATGGAATTCAGATTCAGATACATACCACCACAGAAATAGTTAGTTTGATCACAGTGGTAGCACATTACAACTGTGTTCATAGCACCTTCTGACCTGGAGGGGGATTTAAATAAATGTAACAGAAATAAAATAAAAAAACCAGACTAGAAAACCTTCTAAAAATTGTAGTTTTTAAGAGTGTAAGGTGTTTTATCCTGAGTTATATAACACAAAGTCCTGTCCAAATTCTCTATTTAGAGGGCAGGGTTCACTGATTTGACCAACAGGGCATAAACGTTAAAATGAGACCTCATATTGCCTGCTGACATATTTTTACAGCTCAGATACCAAAGTAGTAAAAATTCCAGAGGGCTCATCAACTGCAGGTGTGATCGTCTGCAATAACAATGTAAGATCACCTGAATGTCACAAGACAGAAGAAATTACAATCCACCTCCTGTATAATAATTACTTCAATTTGCAAGTAGTGTACTTGAGGTGTTTGTTCAGTTTTTATAGTGTATTCTTTAAAACACTTCCTATAAACGAAAAAAAAACTAAAACAGAGCCTGAGTGAAGCTAGCTGCTAGCATCAACACAATGAGAGAGCTGGTCCAATGCTGCCACGTGTGGTCAGTTTGTTAAGTACATGTAAATAACAGATTTAGAATATTAAAGCAAAAAGAAAAAACAACTCAACTGGTGTGATATGATGTTAAAATCACTGCTTTTCTCTGTGTAGTGTGGTTTTAAGAACACGTTTTGTAAATGCTGTTGGACAGTTAGAGTGAATGTAACATATTATAAACTCACACGATGACAAATTGTTACCAAACACTTCATGATGGTATCCATGTGAGAATTCAAACAGCTGCACGGTAAAATACTTTGTAGTTATACAATTAAAAAATGCCATGGAAACAAAGAAGAAGAAAAAACAATAAACCCAAATATGAACAAGTAAACAGAAAGTGGTGTAATTTACTCACTTTTTTCTTGTTTCAGCAGCAGGAAATCTCAGGGACATTAATCGAGGAGTGGGGAAAAAAACTGAACCTGTATCGTATGATAAGACTGTTGTGTGTTTCTGCGTGTGCGTGGTGAGCTTTTACCCCTGTTGTCAGGTGAGTGAAAGTACTCATGCTGTAAATCTAATGGCTTCAAAGTTCTCACACACCCCTCCCCCCCCACACACACACACATCTGTGCATCTATTCTAGTAAGGACTCTGAATTGACTTCCTTTTATGTTGTATAACAACCAGAACCAGTTAATGCTTAAATCTGTAACCATCCAATAAAACATTTTCTTCAACTCCAACAGAAAGGAGGTTCTGCCTCATCTGAAACAGGTTTGGTCTTCATTAGGACTACTGGTCCTAAAAACAACATGAACAATGCCAGAAACAGTACAAATATGTTTAAATAATTATAAATAAAACACACTTTCCAAACCTCTTTCTCAAGGTGAAGATGAAGAGGAGCACCAAACATGTTTATGACTTGCATATATATGAATGCAGCATATTTATATTGATTTTGATTAAATTAAAATTTTATTTTAATTTCACTTTCATTTCCTTCATTTTCATTTCAACTATCTATCCTCTGTGTTCCACAGGGGGAAAGGCCCTAACTCCTGATGACATGGAGCCTTCAGGGTTCGTGTGCTTCGATACAAAATCCTTTTTCAGGTTCTGTTTTTCCATTGGAAACAAGAAGTTGCCCCCCATCTTCTCTCCACTGCAGTCTTTGCAGTACATCTGATTAATCGAGTCACAGGAAACTTTCAAAACAATATTTAGATTAACTGAACTACATATTTAAATCAAATGTATAAATATAACATATCTTAGATTAAATATAGGAATATTCTTACAAAAAATACAAAAAATAGATAAAATATTATCAGGTATAACGACTAATTACACTAAGAGAAAAATAAATTATTATATCACAATGTTTTCTCACATTTTAGTGTCACAATATTTCAAATGATTCTATACATGTATTCAACATCTTGACGAACTGTATTTATTTAATTTTAGTTAGCAACTTACTGCAGAAGATGGACACCAAGTCCACTATAGCACAGCGCAAACACCTGGACAATAATGGACGACATTTTGTCAACGTGATTTTGCTACTTCACCTTTATCTGTTTCAGGTGTAGTGGGTCGTAGTTTAGACGGTTGGCGTTTGAACTGAAGTTGGTTGAAAACGTTCGTCATGTTTCTGCCCGGAGTTTGGGTTTTCATGCTGATTAAATGCTGCTCTTCTTCTTCATTTCTCATCTTCATCTCATCTACCGCTGACTGTTTCTTAACACAAGAACCCATCGTTAGGTTTGACACCTAAAGGATAGAAATGCGCCTGCGCGAATCATTCGGGACGAAATGCTTAACCGTAGCATGTTTACAGAGCGTTGTGTCAAGATAATTTGAATGAATTTCTTTTTCTTTGCTCAGAGTTACTGGGTTGCGTTTTGTTTTTGTTTGGTTTTTTTGTTTTTGTTTTTAATACATATTACTTTTACTAAGTGTGGGTCACCAGTCGTCTCTCGCTGACGTTGGTCTTTAGAGATAGCTGTTTGGCGCGGTGTTGCTAGTTGCTACATGATTTCTGGGACTTGTAGTTTTTCAACGATCGCAGCTAAAATAAAGTGTGATCTGCGCCTTAACCATTTGTCCAGTTGGCACGTACATTTTTAGTTAAGTTTAGATTTATTTTTAAACACATAATTTAGCGGATAATTCACCCTGTCAACAGATGATTATTGGAATTTTCAATACAATATATCATTATCAGTGGCACTTTGGCCCAGAGGCAACAACAGAAACAAAATTAACAAATAAGTCAGACTGTAGTAACAATTCAGTAGGGTGTTATATGTTTATGTAAATAATTGCAGCCTTCAGTCTACGTCGCTGCATAAACAGAAATATTTTTCGGCTTTAGTTTTAGAGCAGGTCTTGAAAAAAGTTTATTAGACAACAGACACGGCTTCAACATCACAACAACCACGTAATATAATAATGAACATGGACAGAGCAGGACGGTGAGAATGCTGTGAAGAAAAACTTATATATTTGGTTTGTGTCTTGTGTTTTCTAAACTTTTTTCATTCCTTCTGAAAGGCAGTAAGGCAGCTGCTGATTCCTCAGGGACCAGGTCGTCCTGTCACTGGAGCAGAGTCACACACTGAGGCACATTGTTTACTCAAATCTACCATAAATCTAAATCTGACAAACAGAGACACAGACAGAAGTTCTCACCTGGACAATGCTGGTTAAAAACAAAAAAAGAAAAAACAACAAAAACAAGCTGAAATCTGAAGACAAACACGTTGGCACCAGATACTACAATTGCATGTGTATGTTTTACAGGAGTATGAAAGAGTGAGTCAGAGCTGATTGCACAGAGAGCGCCACCTGTTGCCTGAGAGGTGGTAAACGACACCACATGATATTTATCTGAATGGCTTTTGAACAGAGATAAAGCAGTGAAGAGATAGGACACTGTAGACTAAAGCTCAACCAATCAGCTAAGCCGTGTCTCTGGCAGGTTCCAGCAGCAGGGGGCGCTCAAAGCTCATACAATGTGTCTGCACTTTTTCAACCAAACAATAAAAACACAAAATGTCCATATAATTAAAAACCAACAATTCAATTTGACTGATACAAAAATGACTTGGAGAATTATTGTAAAAGAATAGATTATTCACAAAAGAAAAGTTTTAACTTTAGTCTGGGTCAAGTGGGAAGGAGAAAAGGTCTTACTCTCTTTCATAAAGTATAACAATCGTTAATATTCATATGTATATGTCACAATAATATTTATATATAAACTCTTGATAAAATAAAAGCGGGACATTTGTGGTCCTAACCTTTAATATCATCAGTCTGCTGTTTGTCTCAGTCTGAACTTCAGCAGCACAGATGCTGACCTGTGATTTGTTCCTCCTCAGTCTGCACCTCCTCTAGTCCTCACTGTGGTTGTACAGTGTGTCAGCAATGTGGTTTTTGCGGTGTGATGGCGGCACCAGGTGGTGGGGCAGCTCAGTGGGCAGCTCGTAACCCTCCAACTTGATCTTGATGAGATGCTGCGCGAGCGCAAACTCCTCATCATCCAGCATTCCATCGCAGTCGCAGTCAGACAACTTCCAGATCTTTCCCAGCACGGTGTTGGGCAGCCGTGAGTTCATCATCTCCTTCTTGGCGTTGACGCCAGTGATCTTACCATTGACGGGCATCAGCGTGTAAAAGATCTCGTCATATCTGTGCTTGTCTCGGCTCACAATCCAGTCCTCTGCGTCCGCACCAGCACTGATGCCCTCGCCGTAGCCGTGACCGAAGGGTCCGTCCTGAGAGCCCTCGAAGGCCCCGCCCATCACCATGGCTAGAGGCTGTTTTGACTCTTCCTCCCTGATCATCGACATCAAAACAGCGATCTTTGTGGCCAACATCTTATCCACCGATTCGACCAGTTTCACCTTCAGGGATGGGAACTTACTGAAGTCGTAGTGCTGCAGCATGTCCTGCAGGAGGCGACACACACACAAATAAAGATGAAAAACGTCTATCTCACTCTGCTGTGTTTTCTAGAACTATATTGTAATAATGTTGAGGTTTGAGGTAGGATTTAATTTTATAACCTACAGGGATTCATGACATCAGAAAATTAGGTTATTTTTTTTTGTGTCTTTCTGCAGGAATAATCTTTGCTTTAGGCCAAAAGAACAGCAACTTAAGCCTTACCTTGAAAACTAAACGTTTTGGGTGAATAATCCAAAAGAAAATGTTTAAAACTGCAGTGTGCAACAGAACTTGTAGTTTTGACAAACCACAAACAGGGGGCAGCAGCAGCTGCAGCTGGACATAAGACATCTCCCGGCTGCAGGTGGACACAGTCAGAGACTGTGAAAACAACACGTGCGTGCATAGAGCATCACAACAGGGAATCGACCAATCGGAAATGTGCTGTTTGCCAAACAATAGCAAACAGACACACACACACACTGACACACACTTGGACATCTGTGTGACCTCTGCTCTGACCTCTGGTCACTGAGGCCTGTTTTCCCCAGGATTCTGAGCCACAAAGGAACTTGTGATTATGGACATGTGACCAGAACCAGAACTGAACTGATTCTGGTCCAAAACAAATTGGAATAACAAATGTCAGAAGGCCTCCAGTTAAACAACCTTTAGAAATAAATTCATTACTAATGCATAGAAAAAAAATACAATGTGCATTTTATGAAATTTAGCTTGTTGGCTTGTTGGTTTGTTTGTTTTCTTCACCTGCATCTTGGTAACGTTGGGGAAATCTCCCGGGCTGATGTGATGCTCCCTCTGCAGGATGCAGTAAATCTCGGGCAGACGCATGATCAGCTCCTCCTTCTTCTTCTCACGTCCAAACAGAGACGGCATCTCCTTCTTCAGATAGCTGATGATGTAAGCGTGCACCTAGAAACAAACGTGACACACAGGAGAAATTAACTACGTTCAATGAAAGGTCAATGAGGAAGAGGAGGAGATAAGAGAAAGACCAGGAGGAAAAGAACGAGGAGAATGGAATGCAGTAGAGATCCCACAGTGCTGTGGAAATATGGGTGGTGGAAGAAAGGAAGGAAGGAAGAAAGAACGAACAAAGGAAGGAAGTAAAGCAGAAAATAGAAAAACGGTTTTATTGTCCAGCCAGAACAACATTGGATGTTGAGGAGCTGAAAAGACGGGAAATGAAAAGTGAAAGATATGAAGTTAAGGGGAAGGAGTATTGGTGGAGGAGAACTTGTGGAGCTGAAGTAAAGGAGAAACAACGGAGTAGAATGAAGTGAGTAAAATAAAAAATGAAAGAGAGGAATGAAAAAGAACAGATGGAACTGTATTGAAGTGGTGCAGGTGAACAAGAGGAGGCCATGAATGGTAAAGAAGCAAAAAAAAAAAAGTCATCAATATTTTCAAACAGGAAGTGTGTTTTCCTACGAACATGTGCTGGTAAAGGAAACAATGCACAGTTTGCAGGATCTAACGACAGCAGTTTCACACTTGAGTCACTTCTCCTTTTCATTCTTAAGAAGAAGAAGGACTTATTTCACTTCGTGTTTTTTCTTCTCCAAAATAAAAGCAGCAAAAAAGCTTCACATCTGAGATTGATCTGATTCATTAAATCAGACTCAGCTTCATTATGATTCAAACTGTGACATGATAAGAATAATACAACAATCCCAGCTCTCCTGTGTACTGCACGAATAATTAATAAATAAAACAATAAACTAAATAGAATAAAACACAATAGAAAGTGTTTAAGGCAGAAGTCATTTGGGTTTCTTCTTTTTATCTACACACTACAGACTTCTAACAACAAAACGCCCTTTGGATTTTCTCACAATTCCACCTTTTCCAGAGGTGTCAAGGTTAATGCCTCACACAACTCTCATGATCTCATGATCTTCCAGTGTAACTTTCTGACTGACTTCCTGTCTCACCTTGGCCAGTCGAGCTCGTTTGATGAGATCATTGAGTTTACGAAGTGCAGCGTTCCTGGGAAGACTCTGGATATCCCGGAAGAGATCCTGAGATTCTGCTTCAAACAGACGCCTGAGGAACGGGGAGGAGAAAAGAAAAAGACGTAAATAAATGAATAGATTAACAAATGTGTGAATACTTGAACAAGTAGAATAATCAATAAACAAATGAGCGTTAATTACAATTATTTAAATATTTGAGTTAATTAATGACTGTAAGAATGAGTGAGTAACTAAATGAATGAATTGATGAGTGAATGTCCTTTCACCTGTTCTCTGTGTTCTGCAGTGGTTTGGCCCAGAAAGAACCCAGGTAAACTCTCACCACCTCAGGTGAATTAATGACTTTTCCCAGAGACCACATGAGGGCGCCGTAGACACGCATCAACTGCTGAGTGTCCACCTGGCATGAGAAAAGAAGTTGTAGTAGTTAGAGAGGCAGGGCAGTGGCTGAGCTGAGCGGAGTGGAGGACCTGCAGGTCTGTATCACCTGGTCGGCCTTGTTGAGGACCACCCTGATCTTGTCATCCTGTCCTTTCAAGGCTCTGATGGCCTCAGAAAACTCGTCTGAAATGTCCAGTTTGTGAGCATCAAACAGCAGGATGATACGATCCACTCGCTCGCCAAACCAACGCAGAACTTCAGCAAAGTCATAACCTGTGGACACACGTGTGGACACAGGTCAGATGTAAGCTATCAAGACCACCTCTGTGAGATTTGATGTCGATGTACAAGAAAATATTTTACACACACACATACATTACACACATATACAGTATATATTAGATGGACACTGAATTTGTAATAGTAGTTCTGCATGAATAATATATTTGCTCAGAGCGTAAAACACAAAAACTAAAGTGCATGTGTGTGTGAGAGAGAGAGAGCGTGTGTGTGCATGTGTGTGTAAGTGGATCTGTGAAGGTCTGGTGAGGGCGTGGCTCTGCTCTACTCCTGAACAGGAGACCTTGTCTAACAGGGTGAAGAACACAGACTCAGGTTTCTTTCCATGTTCTCTTCACTGTTCTCTTGGTGCAGGACAAATGTTTCACCTTTTTGTTGGATTGTTGTGAGAACATTTCATGTCCAGTTGCCTAACAGAACTCTTTAACCTTGACCTGGATGACTGAGAATCTCCATACACCTGTTGTAAAAAAAAATTCTGTTTTAGTTTTTTTTTTGTCCTGACTGCCTTCTTTAAAATATGGACCCAAAAATCATTGGAGAAAAAATAACATTTGTGAAGTCATGGTAACTGGTCTGCAATGTTATGATTTCAAATGTGTATGTTGTGATTTTGCTCTTTTAAAGACATCATTCAGACTCACCTTAGGCCTGTATACACACATATATATATATACATACAGTATATATATATTGCTTTGTTGTTTAATTCTATACTACATAAAAGTACAGTGCAAATTAGTACAATTAATAAAACAAAACAATTGATTATTGACAACTGATATGATTAATGACATTTAGTTGCAGTCAACATGTGACCACCAAACCTGGATTGGTTTTAAATATGGCTGCTAACCAGGCATCATTGACCACTGACCCGGCAATGTTTCCATCCAGGTGTCAATGCCCCCTACAGGCTGTGTGTGTCAAAGCAGGTGTGTCACATTTCAACACAGAAACACAGGAACAAGGACAAACACACACACACACACACACACACACACACAGTCATAGTCAGGTTACACCAACAGGCTCATGTTTACCTGCTGTCACCTTCCAACCATGACTTCACACTTACTGTTTAAATACGATTTATTTTTTTGAAGTAGCCATGAAATGGGAGTGGTGACTGCAGTACCACTGTTGCCCAGCAGGGTCTTTTCCTTTAAACTCTAATACACTTGCAAATAAAAACTTTTAATTCCTGTAATTCAATTGTATATCTTCAACCTTTTCATGAGGCTACTCCACTAGAAACTCACGTTAATGTTTGCAGGCACGGAGCAGGTGCTGGTCTACCGCTGCCTCATGTGGTCAGTTTGTGTCATTGAGCTGACAATGTTCATATACCATGGTCATAAATGAACACACTAGAATCCACTACTGGCAGCAGTGGTGGATAGGCCAGCCCTGTTTGTTTAATTACAGAATTTCACTTTAACTTCAGGTTTAAAAGAATTCATTTTGAAATAAAATCTATCTAAAAACAACATGTCCACTGCTTCATTTAACAGTTGGACAGCCTTTTCCAGCGGGAACTGAAGTTTGGAAGCTTTTCACTCTCTCAAACCAAAGTCCCTGTAGAAAACCAGAGACTTGAGCTCATATGAAGTACTGATGAAGGATTTCAAATACTTAGGTCACATGAAACAGATCCAAGGGCTGGGACTTGGGTCGTGCTGCAGCATAATGTTGCTGATGTAATGTAAGTGTGTGCAGACCTTTAAAGAAATATGACAGAACAATTAGACACCGGGTCCTTGAGAGTAGACGGTACCAAAATGGAGTGGGCGGAGTCACATGAATGATGAAGGGCCGACTGACTGAGGGTGGGGACAATTGGCTGGAAGCCCAGTGAGACATACTGGCAGCCAGGATTAAGAATTTTGCTCCTGCCCAAATCCAACAGTGATCCACTGAGTTAGAGGTTTGAATCCCAACAAAAGAAGAAATGAAGGAAAACAGGAAGAAAGGATTAAAAAATTGAAACAAGTGGGGAGACTTTAGGGTAAAGTACGTCAACAAGGCCACGTCCAGAAACGGCAACAGTTTCCAAAACAATGGAGAACAGATGCAGGTTAGCATTAGCATTTAACTTGACAACAATTCTTTTTTCAATACTGCCTCCATCTCTAATGTATCATTTTTGCCCTGAATGTTTAAAAACCTCCCTTCAGATTTAGTGCAGTGACACAGATTTACCCCAAGAGGCAGCAATGGACTGGCAAGCATCTGCATTTGTGCAGTCTAGAATCATTTTTGTCAGATGTTGTTATAGATTTGGTGATGAAGAACCATAACCTTCTTTGTTTTTCACAGGTAGATGGTGTACAAAAGTGTGTTTGTGTGTATGTCACGTTTGTTCTGTCGAACGTCATCAGGAGAAACGCAGCCTCAGCTGAGCTCCTGTAAATGTTTCCAGATGAGGGTAACGCCTCACCGTCACTTCCTGTAACACCCTGTTCCTCCTTCCAACCCTGTTAGCCCTGTCTCCTTCCCCACCTTCTCCATCTCCACCTCCTCCGTCCAGCTGAAGCCACTAACTGGTGCCGTCATTCAGGCTGACTCAATAGAGGAGCAACAGAGACCAAAATGAAGCAGGTCTGCCCTGACGTTCAAGTCCACGTCACTGAGAAACACCTCAGAGGGGTGGTTCCTGTTTGGCTGGAGTGTGGTTGTGTGAGATACTGAAACTAATGCTAATTCAATATTAAAGTGGTTACGCATCAGGTCCTCGTGTGGGCAGCTCAAAATTATGTTTAAATTTATTAATATTTATAATAAAATCAATCATGTTTTCATGTTGAAGTGTTGAAAGTTTTAGTCCATGCTTCACTTTGTTCCTGGATAGGTAACAAAACAGATACGTTTCTAGACTTTTGCTGCTTATTGTCATCAGTACCACAGTATTTCATACATTTTAGCCATAGATTTGAACTGATTGAAGATGGCAGCAGTGGATCAACATGTTATTTATGCTATTAATACTGGTTTGTCATTGGACTAGAGTACAAGAGAGAGGGCAGACCATAAACAGTTGTGTAAAATTAAAGTTAAGCACTAAACCTTTAAGACACTGGAGACTGAAGATGAAATATATTATTTGAAATAAGTCTATTATTTGTTGTGTTGTTTCTGACTGTATCATAGTCAACACGAGGCTCTGGTCTGTGCTGAGCCAATCAGAAGACAGAACTGCGTCTGAGGAGCACGTGATCTGAATGTAATGGTGGAGACACTGTGATCTCTGACTTATGCTGTCAGTGATTAGACCTCAGTGATGAGTTATGAGGGACTGTCGACAACACACACAATGACAGGAAGTGGAGGAATCTTGAGGACTGTGTTATGCAATGGGACACAGGAACACACACACACACACACAGGCAGACATACACACGCCCAGAGGTCTCACCTCGGCTGATCCGCTGCTTCTCTCCTGACAGGATACCCGGTGTGTCGATGATGCTGATGCTCTGAAGAACCTGATTGGGCATCTGAGAGCAGATAAATCTGTGGAATAAGAAAATGTGGAAAATGTAAGAAATAATATTACATTTCTCATTATACAAACACCATGATACTCAATAATCTGATTCCATCTGTGCAATATTTTCTGTCATATTCTGGTTACTTTGTTGTACTTTTTATTTAAATCTGTGCAGTCCTACACCCTCACATACATTTCTCCTGCTACTTTTGAAATGCTCTTACAAGATCAGCTGTTACATCAGCAATTTCTCCTGACAATCAAAGTATTTTTGGTTCTGTAAATATGGGATGAAATATGTTGAATGAGACAAAGGATCAATTTCTGTTTTATGAAGGTGTAAAAAAGTTCCCTTTATATGAATGATTATTATGTTTACAACACAGAGACAGACAGACTGACAGACAGACTGACAGACTGACAGACTGACAGACAGACTGACAGACAGACAGGCTGACTGACAGACAGACTGACAGACAGACAGGCTGACTGACAGACAGACTGACAGACAGACAGGCTGACTGACAGACAGACTGACAGACAGACACAGACAGACAGACTGACAGACAGACTGACAGACAGACAGGCTGACTGACAGACAGACTGACAGACAGACAGGCTGACTGACAGACAGACTGACAGACTGACAGACAGACAGACAGACTGACAGACAGACAGGCAGACAGACTGACAGACAGGCAGATTGACAGACACAGACAGACAGACTGACAGACAGACAGGCAGACAGACTGACAGACAGACAGACTGACAGACAGACTGAGAGACAGACTGACAGACAGACAGACAGACTGACAGACAGGCAGACTGACAGACAGACAGGCTGACAGACAGACAGACTGACAGACTGACAGACAGACAGACAGACAGACAGACTGAGAGACAGACTGACAGACTGACAGACAGACAGACAGACTGACAGACAGGCAGATTGACAGACACAGACAGACAGACTGACAGACAGACTGACAGACAGACAGACAGACTGACAGGTCTAACACTGTAAAAACAACACCAATACTATCAGTGTCATCCTGAGGGTTACTCCCTCTCCAAGAATTTTTGCTCACAGGCTCCACCCCTGTTCTTAATTTGACCTGGCTGTGAAATTGACCTCTGACCTTGGACACTCCATCTCACTACAACAGGACACAAACAGACACACCCACCCCCCCACGCCTCCTTCCCCCTCCCCCACCCCCACACACACACACCCTGATTGAAGCTATAAATTGTGACACTGCGTTTTGCAGCTCCTGGCTGGCAGCGGGAAAAAACAAAAGCACCTCAGACATGTGGTGACGCACACACACTTCCCTCTGGAAACAATAAGTTATTGTGAAAAAAGTTCCTTCTCTGCTTCAAGAGGGAGGATTCCTGGTTAGAGGAGGTACCTGAAGTACACACACACACACACACCTAACACACACAGAGTTGACTGTCCTTTCACCTCATGTTGAAAATATTTCTGGAGATAGGAAATAGGCTTGAGATGGATGTTCAGCTATATTTAAACCTACGATAAGAAGGGTTCCTGTGTGTGTGTGTGTGTGCTAGAATGATCCAATTTTTTTTGCACAAGCTAAAATTAGTTCTGACCTGGAGTTAAAGGTCAGGTTTAAGGTCCAAAGCTCGTTGTGTTTTAAGATGTGGAGCTGTGGAGCAGCAGGACAGTCTGATGAAGGCTGATCCTGAACCTTCACTCAGTTCCTGGTCCATCAGCAGGACACTGAACACTGAATACATGTGGCCCTTACCCACAGTTCATTTCTCCTTCAGTCTGTTTTCTTATGTGGAAATCATCCTAATGTTCTACACTGACAGACGTCACAGGCAGTGAGTTTCTGTGCTTTCTGACTCCACGCTCACTTCAGCAGACCTTTTGGAACAGACTCTGGCAGAAATCTGGCAGAAAGGCAGAGACTGATAACATAAACTACGTTTATATGTCAGGACTGTATTTGTGTTTGGGTGGATCTGAACGTCTACACTGAAATATTCTGTCACGTCAAATTAGTTTAGAAATGATTTCTGGAAGCAGTGATAACCTTGCTGCTGCAACTTCCTATTATTCTGGGCAGTTCGATGTCACGGAACGATTCACATCTCGACTTTACTCATTTGACAGAAACGTGACCTCACTGGTGTCTGGGACTCTGAAGTTAAACTCTTGTGTCCACTCTGTCTCGGAGGACACAAGAAGTTCTTTGCTCGTTCTAGTAGTAGTTGTTTCTGCATTTGCAAATAATTTAAGGTTGATGAAATAAAGGTCTCAAAAGTACTGCTCCAAACTGGATCTTTGACAAAAGAGTGAGAATGAGGGGGAGAATATTAATGTGACCAGCAACCCTGCAGCGACCAGAGTGGGCAGAAGTCAAGCAGCTGAAGAACTGTTTGTTTGGTTGTGGTCAGTGTTGCATTTACTCATTGTTAATGTGTCTTTGTCTGATAAATAGTCTGATAACATTTATCTTCTTTACTGTACACAGTAGGGCTGCACTGCTGTGTTTTCTGTTGTCCATTGATCATACTGGAAGTACTTATGTATGGGAGATACTTCAGCCTAAAGTACATGTATTTCAGACTGAAAAGAGGAAGGACCACAGTCATGGAACAGTGTTCTCCGTCTGATCAGAGATGTTCTGTGAATAAGAAAAAGACTGACTGGACAGAAGTTAGGTCCAGATACTTTTCTGCATTTTTGGTGGTTAGGAGGTTCGACTACCATCAGCAGTATTGTTAATTAGTGGAATTTATATTATGCATTCCAGATGATTTATTACTTTTATTAACACTGGATTTTACCCACAGTTTAAATGCCAGAATAAATTACTTCCTTGAAAAGTTTGAAAGGTTAAAATGTCTTAGTTTTATGTCCCTTAATTCACCGAGTGTGTAGAAACTGTGCTGCAGTTGTGGCCATTCTGACCGCTGAAACAGGACTCTTCATGGTAAATGGCTCAATGTTTGCTTAACACATTTTTTATGCATTTTCAAGAGACTTCTTGTGAGAGCAGGGCCAACACATGCAGGTATTTCCTGCAGGTCTGAGGACCTGCTCTATGGAGAGCAGGAAATGATGGAGCGGCTTATTGTACTGGGGTGTAAAATAAACCAGTGAGAGCAGGATCATGATGACTGTTTGTTTACCGCTCACCCAGGTCAAGTCTCATATCCGGCTCCGGCTAAGTAACTATTTTTTTTGGTGGAGACGATAAATGATTAAATCAACAAACAAATCATTGTCTGTTGTTTCTTCCAGCTGTCAAGAAGAAAATCTCATTTAGAAAACAGTTGTACTACAGCAATACCACGCTGGAGAAGTCAGTTATAAACTACACTTAGACTTCAAAGGGGCGAAACATCATTTCCAAAGTGTTTATTTTACAAACCGGCTGAAAGAAAGCTGAGGAGATGTCAAAAATGTTAAAATTTGGAAAAAGATGCTAAATCTTAGCTTAGCTTAGCTAATTATTCAACATTTATCTACTCATAAATATTTGGCTTAAATGTTGAGATCAACTACAAATGTGTAGCCTAAAAGAAAAAGTAAACAAGTAAAAAATGTAAATACTTCTGTTGGAGTCAAAATATTGTCCCTTTAAGACATTTCACAGGAACAACAAGGATAATCGGTGTTTTACCTGTTGAGGAAAGTGTTTCCAAAGGCGTTGAGTTTTCTGAAGGGTTTCTTGGGGTCGACCACAAGGGCGTTGCCAGGGATAACGCCTTCATTCTCGCCGTACATCACAGCGATGAAGCCATCGGTGGTTGGTTCTGGACCAATCCTCATCCCTGGAAAATCCTGCTCCAACAGATACCTGAGGCACAGGGAAAACAACAGTTCTTAACTGGGGCTGCACCAGTACCAGGTCCTGTATTTAGATGTAGGAAAATGACCAGATTCAACCACCCCATAAACACTAGCAAGCTTTTATTAGTGAGAGCAATTTATGATGTGTCCTGTGATGTAAAATCACTGATGTTCTCTTTGGACTGTGGCATGGAACAGAAGCATTTTATAAAGTCCACATTTGTGTTTGAAAAGTCTTTTCAAAGGGAAGGTAAAGCAGTGGGCAACATCAATGCAGAGGCAGTCCAACATGGATGACCAGAACAGAGCGCTCTCAGCACAGTAGGCTGTCGGTCCAACCACCACAGAGTCAAATTTAGTCTTCAGTGCCCATGTTTCCGCAGACTAGCAGCATGTTCCTGACTTGCAAAGTTGTAAACATGATTTCCTGAAGGTGGGGGCTCGGTGCCACAGCGACAGCCGTGGTTTATGAAATGAATGGACTTGAGCCTCCGTCCTCGGACTCTCTGTTTCTGTCACTTGTCTCAGGACAGGGCATTTCCTTTCCTTTCATCTCCATACGACCTGGACGACCTCTCACATGCTTCTCCTCGTGAAAGAAAAATGAGAAAGGAAGGAAGATGGCTGCCAGGAGGCTCCGTGCCCCCACTTCCTGTTATCACACTTGGTTCACGTGAATGGGCCAAATGTAAAAAACAGGCAGAGAAGATGACCTCTGTACCCAGTTTAGTCTTCACTGGTGGACATGTGGTCACTGAGCTGCTGGACTACAGGGAGCGTCCACTCCTTTGATCAGATGTTTGATCAGGTCATCATCGTTTAAAATCTAAGAATCGGTAGAAGCTCAGTTTTATGGAAGGAAACTTTCCTGAAAGTATTCAGCAAATACAACTGTCTGATTAAAACTTCTGGTTTCATCATGGGGTCACACGAGGGTCCGAGGGCGGGTAGTGCTCTTGCCTTACAACAAAAAAAGACCACAGTCGTCCAAATAACCATCAACAGTTGGAGCTGGTGATGAGACCGCAGATGGCTAGCCACCACTTTTAAGGGGTGGTCCCCCAGAGTGTTGGCTCTAAACTGGCCATAGATCTGAATGTGAATGTGAGACCCTGTGATGAACTGGACAACTGCCAGGGTTTAACCTTGTGACCTTCAAGAAGGCCAGTTAAGACTTTCTGTCTCCTCCTCTACTTCTAAGTATTTAGTATTCTTTCAAAAGAACTTAGGAAATAAAATGCTTTTTGTTCATGTTCTCCTGCTTCTTCTGGTGTCATAGGTGTCTTTAACTCAAGACTCTCAGAGATGAAGTTCAGTGACCGACTTCTGATCTCCCTCTGCTTTACTTTAGTGTGTGTGGTTAAGAGTTAACCGCACAGTTAAGTTTCGTAACTCATTAATGAGTTATGAAATGTATTCCACTGGTCCACTGCCGACTTTCAAACTTCACAGATATAAATGAAGTGGACCAGCGAGAGCCTCTCAGTCAGTTTGAGAATTCCTTGACGTTTGGCCACATATTTGAGTCCAGAGGAAACAGATGAACTCATGTTACAAAAAGAAACTTATGTAATCAAAAACATTCTGATCTCAAATCTGTCGACTCTGCACTTTACAGACACCGTGTTCCCATGATTCATAGCATTCCTTAGGGTGGGGTGTGGCCCCAGCTGAGAAACACACACACACACACACCTACATACACTTTGCAGTTTGTGTTAGATGTAAACTGATTGGTTGGTTCTGCTGCCATAACACACAATGTTTTCACCCAACATGGACACACACACACACACACACACACACAGGGAGACTGTAGTGTTAAGTGCAGTTTGGTGACCTCATCCTACAATAACGACAGAGCTGATAAAAGTCCAGTCCATCTGTCAAAGATGATGACATCATAAAGATCTGGACGATCTGGAAGTCCAGACCAGTACTAGGTCAAAAAATAATTAGAGCATGAAGGAAGCATGTTGTTTGAGGAATGAGGATCATGGGGATTATTCAGGCTTAACCGACATCCAGTATGACTGATATCACTCTGTCCCCAGGTATCAATAAGCCTTTAACACAAAAACCCTGTCCATAATACTGTATGTTTGTCATGTAGTGAGTCAGGAAACCAGCATCGGTCCAAATGGCAGGAACTTGTTCTTGGACACCCAGTTTACCCATCGTAACTTAGTACTGTTTGTGAGTCTGCATTAGTGAGTAATGTTGCAACGCTTAAGACCAGGTCCATTTAGCAGAACTGGGCTGGTCCTCAGCAAAGAGATGAATTCTGGGCCTTTCTTGGTCTCCATCAGGTACACGGTAGTCCAAACCTGGTGTGAAGAATGTGGGCTCCCATATTAACCCAAACGCCAGAGAACACAAACACAGACAAGACCAGCATCAGCCGTGTGTTTATATAAAGAGTCCGACACATGTCAGGAGCTGCAGGTGAGGAGTGTTTCCAAAATAAATGTTTCACACACAACAACATAATCTCAGACCTGCTGCATGGTGGCTCATTCATGCAGCTTTAACTCGGGGTGACATTTAATACCAGTAAAGATAATAATGAGTAGAAACCGGTGTGATATATCAAAATAATTCAAAAGGTCAGCTGTCAGATTCCGCTGCAGTAAAATTAGAAGTGTTCTATTTTACTTCATTTTTTTTACCTCTTTTGTCTCTGAGTGAAATCTCATCATAGAGAGACACAAGACCTGACACGTCTGTGTGACATTAGATGTTAATCTAAATCTCCACCAATTGAGGCGTGGATGGGAAACAGTGAGCCGTGAGCTGACGGAGGTGTGTTCATCAACGGTAATAAACCAAACCTGTGTTAGTCAAACAGCTTTCTAGAGCTCACGGTTTGGCAATATTCTTCTTCAACACTACGCACTAGGGCAAAACGTTACGCTTCAAAACACAGTATTTAATGATGACTTCATCTGTGTCTGCATTTTCATATGAGGTCTGTTAAGAAGTTCAACTAAAGGGGCGTGACACCAAAATATTCCAGGTATGCAGAGTAAAAATATCACTTTTTAAAAAGTCATGACATAAATTGAGCCTATCACGTCAGCCATATTTATAACATAACCTAGAAGAATCCAAAAGTTATTTTTGTTATTGTTGTAAAACATTTGTAACTGTACCAAATAAGCCATTATGAACATTGAAATGTTAAATAAACTTAATTTTGATTAAGTGTCTAGTATTAATCCAACTACTGGTATAAACTATGATACTGTGTTCAACCAGTGAACATTTTGACTGTAGGATGTATGACTGGCAGAATAAATTTAAAATTATAGTAATTTATTATGACATCTGGTATGAGGTCACCCTGGAGCATTGCATTTTCTATGTAACGCTAACTTTAAAAAACCCAGGGTACATTTTAGCGGGATTTCATACATGGGTTTGACATGTTGTAACTATGAATAATAAACACACTGTAGTAAAGGCAGTGCAATTTTACATTTTTATATGTTGGATAAGCGGTATTTATAGCCTTTCCTGGATATAACTACACGTTTTGAGAATATCACATCAGCCGAATTTATCACAAGATTTTTTTAAGGTAGTGTGAGCTGAAACAATACAATAATAATTTAAGGAACTCTGCCAGGTAGTGTGGAAACACTGAATTGACACATTTTGAAGCGAGGTCTGGCGTGAAGTCAACCTTTGAGTGCGTGATACGTAGCCAACACCTTGACGTACGGTCATGTAACGGATCACTTTAACCTTAAAAAAGGCCGGTTCCTCACGCACCCAGCAGGGCTCGTATGCGGTGAAGGTGGTGGGTCGCACTCATACCTGATGAAGGTAGTCTTCCCAGTGGAGTACTGGCCCACCAGCAACACCATGGGCTTGCTCTGGAAGTCCGCGGCCTCCAGCGCCGGGGAGTGGAAGTCATGGAAGAGGTAGGTTTCCTCCAGCGGCAGCAGCTTCTTGGTGTACAGGCTGAGCAATCCCTCGGTCACCGTCTGGTACATCTCTCCCTCCTTGTTCCGTCCACCCTGCTCCTGTTTGACCCAGCTGAACATGACGGAGAAAAAGTATGAGAAAAAGGAGAAGGAGAAGAAGTGGATAGAACTTCCCGTTTTTCGGTGTTCTTTTCCACGAACGTGTGTTCGGCTCACTTCGTCACTGCGGTCAGAGCCGAGGATCGAGTCCGAATGAAAGAGAGAGGCTTTTAGTTTGGCTGAGGGAGAAAACACACACGCACACGCACGGACACACTTACACACATCATATTCTGTCTCCTCTGTGTGTGTGTGGGGGGGGGAGCGTGTACCTGTGGGCACAGCCCTTCCCCCTGTGACGCAGCAGAAAACACACACATACAGAGATGTGCGCCACCAGTCTCTCAGTGACGATGTCCTCTGGTACAGATAAATGACAAAATGATGACGAACTATGAACACGATTGAAACATTACTCAACGAGCCACGCATTCTTTATAAGAACATGGTAAAGCACAGCTACAGTTCTAGTACTGTGATATTCACAGGATGTAGCTGAAGGTGAAGAGTGAAAAAGACTTACTGGAGTGGATTGACTTCATATCACTTCTTAAAATGCTCAAAATATTATAACAAGTGTAATGATTCGTACTGTCAATCAAGAACAATTACAAAACTGTTGGTTTAATTGGACAGTGGGAGGAAGGTGGAGTAAATTAAGAAATGCCCCAAAAATAGGGGGGAGGAACTGCATACAATAAGAGGTAATTCAGTTAAGCTAAATCAGCACCAGTTCCAGTGGGCTCACCACCCACAGGAAGGTTCTCGAGTGGCAGTGTGATTTGGGTGGCGGTCATGGAGACTGTTGCCCCTAACTGTAACTAACAACGGTAAATTAACGTAAATAACGGTAACTGACAGCACAGAATCGTAGACATGCATCTGTATAGTTCATCCATCAACTGTTTGCTGAATCTCTGTCAGGAGTGGTTTAAGTAGAAGAGTTGCAACAAGAAAGAGGAGGAGGGAGAAGAGAGAATATATTTCAACAAATAATTAGACAGTGATGATACTAAGCCATTAAAACAGACACGGGAAGATTTTTGTCTCGGTTTTTGATTCATGCTGTGATTAAAAAACAAATTAAATCCCGGTCTGTTTTTCTTCATAGACAAATCAGTGCAAACTGTAGCTGCAGGTCATTCTGCTCCTTTTGTCCCGTGGCTCCCCCTACTGGACAGTAATAGGTACAAGTAAAAAAGTATTTTATGGATTATGTGACAAGCATTGTTATATTTTTTGTTTAAAAACCAAATTATTTTAACAATAAAAAGGAACAAAAATAATAACCTTTCATGTTCTTTTCACTAATTCGGGTAGAATAATACACAACAAACAAATATATAACTATAACTCCATGATGGACTTTTCTTTGTAATTGTTTATTTTATTACTTAACAAACACCAGCTCTTCTTCCAAACAGACACAAAAGGACATTTTTCTACATGCCAAAACCTTCTAAACATCAATTTAAGTTTAATTTTAGATAAACGACATGCAAACATCACGAATAAACCTGGATGCTGAAGAACAAACTGAAACATATATATATACCGTATGTATATGTTTGTTTGTTTTCTGCTGAAGCATTGTTTACACAAATAGAAGAAGAAAAAGCATTTGTTGTGTTGTCTACACAAACACTCAAGAACACAAAAGGTGATTTTCTTCAGAAAGTGTAAACTTCACTGTTAGCATGCTAGCATGTGTGCTAAGATGCTATACTGTTTGAAGATCGATATATGCGTCATGAGCTGCTTCATTTGAAATCCGTTTTCTTACAACAATAAAATGTTTTTTTTTAAGTTGAAATGTATTTTTATAAAGTGATGGATTGGAAGAAAACGTGACTTTACTGTAGGAATGACACTAAATTGATATAATCGTAATTAGAGAAATGTATTGTTGAGCTCCTGTAAACAAAATCTTTCATAATAAGATAAATGTTTGTATGCTTTTCTACTTTATCAAATTTTAACTTTGTCTGTTCTGTGAGCAAATTTCTTCATTATTTAGTTATTTTACAGAAATCTTGTTTGTTGTTTTTAGTACACAGTAGGAAATGTTGATTTGGTACTTTTTATTACCCTTTCATCAGCAGTATTTTTCATGATTTCACTGAAATTTTGTAAGTTCCTGTAAAAAATATATAATGGTTATTTTTGATTAAAGTCCAGTAAATACAATACACTCATGTGAGTGCTGCTGTTGGTTTACTTTAAAATAAGTGACTGTTTAGTTTCTGTTGTTACAGTTTACATGTCCTGCTCCTTAAATACTTACATGTTTCTTTTTGTGTATAAAAGTATTTTCTACACTGTTAGTCTTTTATATACATGTGTTTTCACACATATGTGTCAGTATCAGTGTGTATAATGTATATGTATATATATATGTATATATACAGTGTGTGTTCCTGTCATTCTGTCATTACGAGGACCAATGTTTATTTTGCCACATGTGAGGACATTTTGGACGACAGCTTTTTTACTTGATTTCCTTCCTCAGACTTCATTGTTTTGGTATGTATTTTGGTATAATATACGTGGATTAACAGTGACAAATCTTCAACATAAATACAGACAATCTTTGTGGCTCTGTGTTGAGTCTACAGCCAAAAGATCATCTTGATTCTATCACCACGGTGGGGCCAGTTTTATTTCACCTGCAGTGAGGTCTTTGAACATTGTTTGGTTTTGATTCGATGTGATTTTGTCACAAATACATAAGTGTGTATGTGTGTGTGTGAGTGTGTGTGTGTGTGTGTTGTGTTCTCAATTTTTCTCAGTAAAATCTCGGCAGATTCCTTTAACGATGGGCTCAACGAACTCTGACAGACCAGTGAACTCTCGGCTGAAGAACATGTGACTGTCCTTTGGTTCTGAAGCCATGGCTTTAAGGTCTTCGTGAGGAGCCCAAGCCACGCCCACTGAGTAAAAGGTAATACCTGGAGTTTGAGTAACAACAGGGGAGATGATTGACAGGTTACTCAATTATGGTAATACAAGATCTTCTCCTTTAACACACACCATACACACACTCTCTGACCTTGATTGCGAGCCTGCTCCGCCGGATGTATCACCTCGTCATATGACTGACCATCTGTCACTAAAATCATGAAGTTGCGACCTGGACCTGTGTTTCTGAAAAAAAAACACAAGTTCCATCTCCAGTACTGTTTCAGACATCTAAAAAGTAAACAATCGAGTGGTCAGTGCAGCCTTACTTGAAGAGCATGTCTGCGGTGTAGGTGATGGCGGCCCCCGTGGCCGTGCCCCCGCTCATGTAGCGGATATTCTGCAGGGCGTTGAGCGCGTCCTCTTTCTTCGTGTAGTCAGACAGACCTATCTCCGTCCTCTGCTCGTAGGTGAACTGCACTACACCTGCAGGGACAAGCAGTAAAACGTCAGTCAGCCAATCAGGATTAAGGAGGTGTGATGACATCATCATTGACGACTGACCAACGCGAGATCCCATGTCTGAGATCTCGAAGCTCCTGACGATTCCTGTCATGAAATCCAGCATCAGACGGAAGTTTGTGTCTCCAACGCTGGACGAGCCGTCGATAAGGAAGGCGATGTTGACGGAGTTGTAGCAGGTTTTACCTTAAAAAACAAACAAAAACAAATCACAGGTAAAACATGAACACTTTTACAAAATACAATGAGTAAATACAGCGAATAACAAACGATCTCAAGGAAGCAGTGAAGCATACAGTACATGAACATGTGCAAAATAAAAATAGTAAAAACTAAACGAATATGCAAAATTCATTTAGAAAGAGAGAAATAAAGTACGGCATGGAGGACATCTTAGTTAAAACTGCAGTTAGATGTAGGAAGTCATAAAATAAAAAATAAGGTATATAAAACGCAGTGTTTTAAAAAAAGAAGTAAAGATTAAAATTCCACAACCACACGTGTGTCTTACTGCAGAGCATGTTGTTGGTTGAGCAGAGTTTCTGGGACAGAGGTTTGACATGTTTGGTTGTACTGAACCAGCTGGTGATCTGGTGACTGAAGAAACTGTTGTCTTTACAAACAGCCTGTTTCACCAACACAGAAACAAAATGAATGAGCAGATCTTTGACCACACATGCTAAATAAACCTGAGTGAATGTTCCGACCTTCTTGGCGAAGTCCTTGTCTTGCACCATGGTCACTTCCTCTGGTACTGGTTTGGCCACAGACACTAAGAACACGTTGATTCCAGATTCACGGGCGTAGGTAGCAGCCTGCTCCAAATCATCAGATGGCCAGCCGTCCACCAGCACCAGCATGACCCGAGGGTGACCTCGTCTGCCTCCGTTCTCCTGCTGGAAGAAGGTCTGAGCTGTGTGTTTGATGGCTTTCCCTGCACAAGCACATGAAGAACATTGATTAATAAAAAAATAGAAAGTGTAGATTTTTAGTACAGAAACATATGTATATATTACATATATGTCTATATACATACATATATACTGTATATAACACGATACGGGTGTAAATATACAATATAATATTGTATTTTCAATATCACATTCATCATATAACGTATGACCACATTTAGTCAGTTAAAAACTTTTATTTTTACTTGCAGTATAATATTAGACCACTAGAGGGAGACAGCTGTGTTACCTGTGTTGCTGTTTCCTCCCATGTAGCTCAGCTCTTTTATAGCAAACAGCAGCTCTTTAGGCTGAGTGTAGTTGGTCAGAAAGATCTCTGTCTTTGGTAAATCACTGTACACACACACACACACACACACACACACATAAACACACACATTTAATATAGAAACAGTACAAATTTCCACTCTTCAACTACAATCTGTCAAAGTAATCTTTGTTGTGTAAAGAGATCCGACATTCAACCAGTCGCACATATCATGGACCAATGTGTGTGTGTGTGTGTGTGTGTGTGTGTGTGTGTGTCCAACCTGGCCTGTACCAGACCCACGTGTGGCCCAGTGGACCCCACTTTCATCATGGCTGCCAGTTTGGACACAAAGTTTTTCTGTAGGTTGAAGCGTCGCTGCCCGATGTTTTTACTGCTGTCCAACACCATGGCCAGGTCGACTTGACATTCTGCACACACACACACACACACACAGAGAGAGAGAGAGAGAGAGAGATCATCAAACATCTGGTGTTTATTATTATTTGGATTTAAATGTATTTAAAACTTTTAAATTCCCAAATTTCGAATTGGGATCAATAAGTGACTCCTCAGTGAACTACCAGTTGGACATCGCCACCTGGTGGCCACATTGTTCCATCCTGTGTAGAGGCTTTTTCATGTCCAGACTTTAAAGCCCAGTTAAATTTACCTCTGTTTCCTCCTGTCAGAGCTTTCTTCACCGACGGCTTCTTCACTTTGCTCTCTTTTTTAGCAGCTGCAAAAGACACACAAACAATTTATCATCACAAACTGCAAAATGAACATAAATCGAGGATTTCTATTAAACTAACAATAACTATGCTGTTTGCAAATATACAGTCCTAGTCATTTGTTTTATGGTGTAATTTACCATGTCATTTATAATTATATATATTATCTGTGATAAACACAGAAGCGTCACCTGGCTGTTCCATTGGAGGCAGGACGGTGGCGCTGCCGTCACTGGTCAACTCTTGTGGAGAAGTTACTGGCTCTGAAACAGACACACAGGAAGAGAGATCATACGCAGTTCTTTTTTTCTGCAAGTGAGCGCCCCCTGTGTTAAGAAAAATGCACTACATCTCTGTAATGCTCACGTCTTCTCTTCTGAACCAAAGATAATTACAAAGTAACAAAGTAATTGAAGAGAACTCCCAGATGGGGGCAGCAGCGGAATAAAAAACAGACTTTCTATCAGGACTTTGATGTGGGAATATGGATTCTTTTTATGTGAGAACTCGCAGTGGAATAGAGCGACATAGACAACAACCCTTGCGGTTTTGTAGAGTTGGTGCGCCACCTACTGGTTAGAGTAAAAGAGGAGCTCCAGCGAACCAGACTTTGTGATTGGATTCCATGAGCGTGAGAACTTATGTAGTTTTTTCGTCCCTGCTGTTTGTGTATCTTAACGGGTCCTCCACTTGATCTCAGGACGCCCCTGTGTGGACGAAAGGTAACAGGACACCTTCAACCAATTGATGAACACAATCTCAAAAATGCATAATTTGATTAAATTATCATTACTTTAATACTCTTTTTTATTCTGTTTTGTTATTATTATTTCTGTCTCAGGACTTTTTGTGACAACAACACAAATGATTGTGGCTAAAGGGTTAAAGCATTAGTGGTTGTTTCTCTAAGAGTCTAAGATCTTTTTGTCAATGAGTAAAAGGTCAATAGGAGAAAAAAACAGGATAAAAAAAGAACAGCACAGAGCGGGAAATGCTGGATGCTGGAATTGAGGAAAGGATCAGACTTCAGACAAAAGCATGAAACAAAAATAGAGCAGTGACAGGAAGAGCAGACATGAAAGAGAGGAATGAGGCTCAGCTGAACACCAGCGGTGTGAAGGAATGTACCGGACACCGGGATAAAGATCTGGACCCTGCTACGCCACCTCTACAGACGAAACACACTCCCAGAAACCGGTCAGAGTTCTCTCCTGCTGAACACTAAATCTAAAATAGAACTTCAGTTGTTGTACCGATGAACCGCAGCGCCGCAGACGGACGAGATGGAGGCGTAGATCCCTGTTCCAAACACCGACACTCTGCCCTGTGTGCAGTCCGGCGGACACAGGACCACGTCGACATCATCCTTCAGGTCAACTCCACGGGTCTCACAGGTGATCGGATAGGGCACTAATTGAGGAATGACATCATCAGGCACACACACACACACACACACACACACACACACACACAGTGGCCACATCCTTTACTCTTCCAGGTATTTATAAATAGATAATTTAATAGATGGATGGATGGATGGATGGATGGATGGATGGATGGATGGAGTAGAGCAGGTAGCAGTAAAGGGTTAAAGTATAATATAGTGAAGTAAAGTAGAATCCAGTCTGATTCATAAATTTAAAAAATAATGTGAGAAACAGTTCAGGTTTATGGAAAAGCCATTTTACTGGAGACATGGATGATGGCTGATATTTTAATAATCAGTCAGAGAGATTTACTGTTACATAATGTGATTCATGAGAGATGAATTGACAGAGAGAGGGAGAGAGGGAGAGAGAGAGAGTAATTGACTGGACTAGAGCCAGAATAAGTAGATCTGCTCTACGACAGGATGAAAGGACCTTTCATCTGCTGCATACATTAGACATTGGCTCTACGTGAGAATTTTTTTTTTTTTTTTTTTTTTTAGGTTCCAGCTTCAATAAACAGACCGAGGACAGCAGGGGGCTCCAAGTGTTGAGTTACCTCCATCTGTCCAAAGACTGTAAGGAACTGTTTCTGAAAATAACTGACACAAGTCAAAAACATCTGTTAAAAATATTGAAGTCATCACTGAGCTGCTCGTCGAGACGCTGACCGTCAAAGATCACCCAATAATCCCTTCCATCAGTTTGTTAGATAATTTACAAGGTGTCAAACTGTGACTACAATCAAGTCAGTAAATCCCTGTCGTTTATTTTTCAACAGGTCTTAAAGAAATAAAAGTCCGACATCATCACCAATGTACTGACTTTAGTGTTTAGTGTTGATCTGTTTGGCTGATATCAGGACACAAACATCAGGTCAACTTTGACATCTGAGATACTTTTATCTCACCGTTTTCTTTAGATCGATAGTTGGCACTTTATTAATGCCTCAGGAGGAAATTTAGAAATCTTTGTCTGTGCAGTGGAACTCAGCACCTACAGATTAGTGCACTTGCAATTCTTGCTCTGGCCTCTGGAGGCACCAAAGTAAAGTAAAGATTTAGTTTAGGTTTTACACGGATCTGGACTCCCTAATGTGACCTAGAGGGGGCACCAAAACACCCTAAACACATCTACTATGTAAATATACATATATCTATGTTATTTTAGAAAAAATAAAAATAATAATGAAAGAAATAGAAAAAAATACCACAGAAAAACACAAATACACTGACCGGTGGATTCAGAGGCAAATGTTGATGAAATGGAGATGACGATGAATAATAGATGTCCTGAGGAGAAACAAGAGGGAGAGGGGGAGTTAACACGAGTCAATACACAGAAAAGAAAGAAAGAAAGAAGATAATATTTAACTAGAAGAGAGAGACTAGAACAGAACCAGATAGAACATAGATGTTATAATATGAGCTATTCTAGTATGAGGTCAGAACAGAACAGAACAGAACAGAACAGAACAGAACAGAACAGAACAGAACAGAACAGAACAGAACAGAACAGAACAGAACAGAACAGAACAGAACAGAACAGAACAGAACAGAACAGAACAGAACAGAACAGAACAGAACAGAACAGAACAGAACAGAACAGAAGGAGGTCAGAACAGAACAGAACAGAACAGAACAGAACAGAACAGAACAGAACAGAACAGAACAGAACAGAACAGAACAGAACAGAACAGAACAGAACAGAACAGAACAGAACAGAACAGAACAGAACAGAACAGAACAGAACAGAACAGAACAGAACAGAACAGAACAGAACTTACCTGTGAGCTGCAGCAGAGACATTTTTGAAGCTGAAAAACAAGGTGACCTCAGTTTAATGGTTTAAACATCAAGTTAATCTAGTTAGTACAACAGTCAGTCAACCAGATGCAGTCAAATACTTGCAGTACTGTCACTAGAATCTACTGGAAATAATAAAAGAGGACAAGATGTTTATTTCAGACTGAGCCAGACAAACATCAACAAACAGTCAGGCAAAAGACTCAGGATTGGTCGTTCAACCACAGGTCAGAGAAAGAAAAAAAGCTACTAACTGAGTGAGAAACAGAACAGTTAACTAAACAAACAGTCATTAAGAACTAAACCCATCATTAGTCCAGTCTACTGATCACTGAAAATGTGGTTCACTGGTCCATTAACTGGGTCTCAGCAACCCAGCAGAGAGGTTGGTAAAGACAGGTAAGTCATGAACTAGTGAGTGAGGTCGTTGCTAACTATCTGTAGTTAATCCAAAAATGATACTGAAGTTATTTACACATATGACTAGTTATGCAGTAAGTGTTTAGGTTAGTGGGGCTGTTATTCAGTCAGTTGTGTAGTGAGCAAGTAAACACTAGTTAGCTGGTAAGTCAGTCAGTACTTTGGTCAGTACTTTAGTCAGTACTTTGGTCAGTACTTTGGTCAGTACTTTGGTCAGTACTTTGGTCAGTACTTTGGTCAGTACTTTGGTCAGTACTTTGGTCAGTACTTGTCAGTAC